TTTTGTGCTAAAGGTGAGAAATCTTTTGGGGATTTTTTTAAGAACTTTCAAGAAACAAGGACAGATATAAATGTACAATGGATGTACCGGTATGTATACATTGATCTGGTACACGGTACCCTGTGGAGACATGGGTATAATAGAGAAAAGATTAAATACGTCTCCACAGGGCAATTTCTATAGTTGAATTCATGTACGTCTCCACAAGGTTATCACGGAATAGATATATGGATTTTACTCAAAACTAGGAATTTCCAAGGTGGGCTGATCTGTCGCAAATTGAAATATTTTATATAAGGGATATTAAGTCCGAATTTCAGCCCAGGAAATTAATTCTGGTTAAAATAGGAGCATTTTGAAACTAGATTTTAAATTGTTTAGTACACAAGAACGACGAAATGACTCCACAACGATTCAAATTCCAGCATGGGTGTTCATGTACATGTACAGTAGCGGATACAGAAGGGGCACAGCCGGCGCCCCCCCCCCCCCACCCCACCCTATTTTGCACCAGTTTCTTCTTTTTTTTAGGAGGTAGGGGCCTATGTCTTGTCTGTTTCTCTGTTTTTTCTTCTGTCCACTAGTGATTTAATCGCTTCAAAGAGAGAAATTTTCAAACCACTGTTCAATTATATGTGGTAATCTGTTTTTCACGGAGAAGCTCATCATGGTAATTGCAAGGTGCTGATAACTATGCACATATGTACAACTTTCGATTCCGGTTCATACCAAAGCGATGACACTCATGGCCGGATTAAAGTGTTCCGTAGGCCCTAAGCACTATTCCATAGGCCCCACTCCGCCCTACTTCAACATTTCATCTTGTACAGTCATTCTTAACTGTTTCAAATGTCAAATTTTCTGCGTATTTTCACGCAATCAAAAAACACATTTTTGTCAATAGCTAGATATTGTGCATGGGTAGTTCCAGAAACCATGCTTAAAGGTACAGTCCATCATTTGTGCATTTTGCTCGTTTGAAGCAACAAAAGCGCTCAAAATCTAAAGAAGGGTGCTGAACAACTACAAACTTGATGAAGTTTCAGTTCAGCTTCAGCTGTATATTTCGAGAAAAACAGCATTCTAGGATCTCGATTTCAGTCAAAGGTTGCTGTATCTTGTTCTGAATTGGGCCTGAATTCAGTGTCTGAGACACATTCACACTGAGCCGATTGCAGCTACGCGATGTCGCGCACCGATCCGACGAATTATAGCAACCGCGCGCGCGTGTGCGTCATGGATGATCGTGTCCAACGCTTGCGTGCGCTTTGCCACATAAAAAAAAACGAACTACTAACGGAACGCATCGTTGGAAAGGCCTTCTTTCATTGATTTCTTCAAAATGACAGCATGCCAGAAAAAAAACCAATTTCACAGGGAGTTAATCCCCTTACTATCTTTCTACCAAGTATTTTTTTCAACAATAATTACGTCAGTTACTTTTTGGATAGTTGCAAATGATGGACTGTAGCTTTAGTGGCGCATGATATGGCATGGGCTACGTTCTTATTTTTTCATTAAATACAATTTCCACAAGCTCCTGGGAGGACCGGCATTACTTCGTGCGTGTACTCTTTAGAATAATTTGGTTTGCCGTGACTATTGAATGCCCATCAGAGACGCATGTGAAGAAATTGACTGAGACATTGCACACGTGTTGGTAATTATTCATTCTTGCTGTGCCAAGTCTTACAATACAGGGTGAGTCCAAAAGAAAAGTGACCTGGATAAATGATTTTATTGATGGTATAGTCCATCATTTGTAATTTGTGCATTTTGTTCGTTTGAAGCAACTAAAGTGCTCAATATCTGAAGAAGGATGCTGAAGAACCAATCTGATGAAGTTTCAGCTCAGCTTCAGCTGCATTTTTCGAGAAAAACAGCATTCTAGGATCTCGATTTCAAATCAAAATTATGTTTTCAATTGGGCCTGAATCCAGCGTCAGAGACACATTCTCACTAGCTGATTGCAGCTATGCAATGTCGCGCACTGATCCTACGAATTATAGCAACTGCGCGCGCATGTGCGTCGTGCCAATGCTTGCGCATGCTTTGCCGAATAACAAAACGAACTACTAATTTGAATTTCATACGGTGCGTCTTAAGACACACCGTTGGAAAGGCCTTCTTTCGTTGATTTCTTCAAAATGACAGCTTGCCAGAAAGATTAATTTCACAGGGGAGTTTAGTCCCCTTACTATCTTTCAACCAAGTATGTTTTTCAACAATAATTACGCCAGTTACTTTTTGGATAGTTGCAAATGATGGACTCTGGCTTTAACAGGTATTTTTGAGTTCTTAGAACAGTAAATGATCAGTGGTGGACAGCTGAATTTTGTGAACTTGGGAAAAGAGTATGCAAATGGAGAGGAACATTCACAGTTACTAGTCAATAACATGTACTTTATCCCTATTATATTTTTTATGAAATAGAGCAAGCCACATAAAACTAAAATAATAATAATATAATTAGGCCGTTTTCTTTTTTGACTCACCCTGTATCCATTCTGGGTCAAACTTCATGCTGTGGTGGATTTAAGTGTTTTCCCATAACGACGGTATGATAATAGCTACAAATATCTCAGGGGCGGATAATGACTACTATACCACAGAAATTCTGATATTGTATACTTGTGTTAATAGTCCCATTAGATAGTCCTTTGTATCGTGGCATTCACATCTTTCATTTGTTATTCAGTTGGCGCCTCACAAATTAACCTGGCCCTAATTGGGTCACCCAGACTGCAATACTATAGGTGATATAATGTACATACATACATCTACATGTACATGTGTATATGTACATTGTATCTCTACATGTACGTCTACATAAAGACTTTTTGACGTGTTTTTGGGCTTGCAGTTGGTATTCAATGCTTTATGGTAATACACAACGTTCAATTTTGCTGTAATTTTCAGAAATGGATGGATTTGGGCGTTGATATTTCATAGCAAATATTGTTACACTGAGTGACTGGCCTGTTTTAAGTTTTGTGTTCATAGATGCTGGGGAAAACCATGAAAACAAATGCTGTTCTTGTAGTCTGGTTCCCCGGGTGTACGGTACTTCAGACGAAATGGAGCAATTTATAGACGTTGGGGAATTGTCAGGTCAGGGAACCAGACTATAGCTGGCTTGCCACCCGCTCATGGATGTGTAACCTATGGCAAGCAAAATGTGGACTAACTTGGGGTAAATTAGGGGCAGGATTTTTTTTAAAAAGTCACTTTTTCCAACGATTGTTGACCGACCATTGTTGGGAATAATACAAAAATTCCACTTTTCTTGAAAATGACAGCACACCAGGTGCCATGATTTCACAGGATGCTTGAGACTATTATTCACTTACAGTCAAGTAAGGTATTTCATAATAATTTGGTAGTTTTGTTTTTTGATTTTTCCAAATGTTGTATATTACCTTTAAGCAAACATTTTTCCACTAACATTAGCATGCCTCTTGCTAATTGCTGACTGCTCACAGTCTCTGTAAAGACTCTGTTAGCAAACAAATTGTGTTCTGAGTAATGCCACGAATTTGGGCCCATGCAGGTTGTACATGTACATTAACTATACAGCCTTGTTGCACATGCTTGTAATTAGTCTAATCAAATTTCCACATGTTTACAGTGAATATTCTCTGTGCGTGCATCAGCATTGTACATTAACTATACAACATTGTTGCACATGGAATTAGTCTAATCAAATTTTCACATGTTTACAGGGAATATTCTTTGTGCGTGCATCAGCATTGTACATTAACTATGCAGCATTGTTGCACACGTATGCTTATTATTAGTCTAATCAAATTTTCACATGTTTACAGGGAATATTCTTTGTGCGTGCATCAGCATTGTACATTAACTATACAGCCCTGTTGCACATGCTTGTAATTAGTCTAATCAAATTTTCCCATGTTTACAGGGAATATTCTTTGTGTGTGCATCAGCATCTGTGTGACATCATCTGGCAGACAAATTGTATCCAATTACATTGACAATTTCATCATATTAACCAGATGTTAGGTTTCGTATGACCGCTCAGTAGCTCATTTACCAAGCATTTTTGCATGGTAAACTACACCGTGTACCAGCCAAAAAGCCATATCGTCGTGTGACAAGGAAAAGGTCGTAAGCAGCCCAGGCACGCAAAATCACTTTTGGAGATAATCGAGTTGAAAGGTTTTTGCTGCCATTTTTAGATTGAAAATCACATACAGTTCAAATTGTGACCGATAATAGATAATAGTGTGCATTTTTATGTCAAAATATTACTTAATTCTGAGGTTATTTCAATTGTTATGCTTACGACCTTTTACCGGGAACTTCCGAAGCCTTAAACGTACGCTTAAGCGGCATGTTAAATCCTTACAACCTTCTGGTGATCAGGAAATTCACATTTCTTCCCGGCAAACCATTTTATATTTGTATCAAACTATGTTTGTATAAAAGTAGTCCGTGAAAATCTTAACACTCATCTTGAGCAGGAGGTCGTGGGTTCGAGTCCCACCCGAATTTTCTCACAATCACTCGGGAGAACACCGAGTATACAGTGTTTATAAAAAATATGTCGGCGAAGGGCGCAACCCAATATTGAATTGAGTCAATTTACATCACCCCAACGCAAATTCCATTTTATGAATTGCTAAGCCAAAATTCCTCCCTAAGCTGTGAAATACACTTCCTTTAGCAAGGAATTTTCTATTCGTGCAAGCAGGATTTTTTTCCGCTAATGGTAAGCATAGTCATGAAAGGGGGCCCTGGTTAAAGTCTAGTTAGTATAAGATTCTGGACTTACAAAATTTCTTTGCTAGCGCGGTAAGCACAAAGTCGTGATCATAAGCACCGAATATCTATGGTTAGCAGAACCATGAAACTGGGCCTTGATGTCGTTTGCCAGAAGAAAAAAGCCTGCGTGACCCATGTATATTACAGGGTGCGATGTGACATCTTGCCATAATGGCTTTTTTTTATTCGTCGTCTTCTTGTCTCCACTATCTCAGATTGACCGTTGCCTACCTACTAATCCCTGCCACTGCAAATAGACCTCGGTCGTCGCAGCAGACGTAGTCATGGGGAAGCAGAATAGCAAGCTCAAGCCGGAGATCCTGCAGGACTTGAGGCAACATACCGAGTTCAACGACAGCGAACTCCAAGAATGGTACAAGGGCTTCTTGAAAGGTAAGCACTAGACGGGCAGATGTGTTCGGAATCCCCAAGAGGGGAACATCCCAAGCTCTGTGAATATGTAACCTGGGAAAAAAAGGTTCACCAGACTGCTATAGTTGGGAGAGCAAAACTATATGTACAAGTAGATCGTAAAAAGGAAATTCAAAATTTTGCAAAAAAGACCCCCCAAAAAAGTATCCAGTTTCTTGTATGCGCGCGTCGCCGTAGCCATACGCGTCAGCAATTTTTTTTTTTAATTCAATGTAAGATGATGTCGCAAAACCGCCAAACTCATTGGTTTGACTGGAATCTTGCTGCTGCACAATTTTAACGTGTTTTTAGATGGGGCTACGATCGAGTATAAGCTTTATGAGGCCTCTCTGGGCTCCCATATATTTTGCACTGAATTTAGTCAGGCACCATTTGCAGACGGTGTTGTAATTTTGTAATTGTGCATCTGGAAGCCAGACTGAGGGAGCAATGGTCGTGTATCTGGAACTTGAAAACACTTTTTAATTAGCGCAATATGTAAGGGAGCAGACTAATGACCAGCTTGGCAGCTTATGCACAATGTCAATGTCGCTGTATGGTCTACGTTATAACGTTACTACCCTTTTCTCTGATTTTTGTCTTGACTATCCAAATTTTTCGAAGAATGTTCGTGTCAGTTGAGATCGTAAGTTGGTGCAGAATTCTCAAGCCTTATGGCCGTACTGAGGTCACCTCAAGCTCCACTCTGAAGGACATTTTTGAGAGTTTTAACTGGGGATCGAAGTGTCATCTAAAAAAGTAGGGGGAAAAAAAAACGCGTCGCCACACCACTTTTGGGGCAAACTCCATACCAGAAACTGTAGATTTTTTTTTTGGCTTAAAATGGGCACTAGGTCCTGAAATCCCCGAAAATTTTATGTTTTAGATTGTTTACTTACCCTATTTCAAACATCTGGTTGAAAAGAAACCAACCTGATGTCTTACCGTTCCCGAGAAAAGACCCAAAAAACGCTCATTTACATCGGACATGACGGAGTACGAATACGTTTTTCGTGTCGTTCTCAGTGTACGATATACACGTTGTGTGTCTCAGGAACAGCAGTGACCAATCACCAATGCAAATAAACTAGTGGTTTCTTCAACGTCCGCAAAAGGCGAACACTATCTACGAATGAAATCACAACTAGCATCCAAACAGCTCAAATTTATGGGGTCGCAAAAGTGGACCCCGAAATTCGTTCTCGCACGCATAATACAGGAATAACACAAAAACGCCCAGTTTTGAAAGGATAGTTGTGTGGATGTTTATATCCTACTTTTAAATGTTATTTCCGATTAATATCATCTCATTCAAAGTGCGTTTTGTAGCCCAATTGGGCTGTTCCAGGACCTAGTGTCCTTTTAACCATTTGAGGAGGGAAAAAAAGACGTCAAAGCAGTCAACATCTTGGGGCCAATAATTTGTACTATTTCCCCTCAAACTAAACCATGTAACTATATTACATGTATTTGCAACAGTGTAGCATTTTATTTGATGTTTTTTTTCCAGATTGCCCTAGTGGCCACCTCAGTGTCACAGAGTTCAAGAAGATCTATGGCAACTTTTTCCCCTACGGCGACGCCTCGAAGTTCGCCGAGCACGTATTCCGCACGTTTGACGTCAACAACGATGAGACGATCGACTTTCGAGAGTTCATCATCGCGCTGAGCGTGACGTCGCGCGGGAAGCTGGAGCAAAAGCTAAAATGGGCCTTCAGTATGTACGACCTGGATGGCAACGGGTACATCTCAAGACAAGAAATGCTGGAAATCGTGGAGGTACGATGATCCAAGCCGAAATGTTATATTGTTTGATCATCAAATTGCTTGTAAACCAGACTTTTATGCGCCTTCGTAGCCTTAGTTGGAGCGTAAATGTTTGGACCGACTTCTTCGGGGGGGGGGGGGGGGGGGGGGGGGGGGGGGGGGGGGAGGGGATTTGGGCACTCCCCCCCCCCCCCAAAAAAAACCTGGAATCGGCCTTGTGGTACCTTAGTTTAGTCTGTAATTGTTTTCTACTCATTTTAGATGTCATATTATTAGTGATGTATCACATTCACTTTTTCAACAGCAGCTCATTAAAGTGTTTGACATGTACATCCAAATTTACGGAATTCGGGCGATTCCCAATTCAGTGCACCACCAAGAGTTTGCCATGGAGAGTCCATTTTTGAAGTTTAGGGTCGACAAAACACGGCCCGTTTGAATGAGTGTCAGTAGACAACTTTAGCTAATTTGTTATAGATCGGGGCATAGCGTTCTGCCGCCTTACCAAAAAAAAAACATATTGATAAAAAGTTAAGAAACAAAAAGGGTTAGCATATACTCGAATCATACACTTACGAAACTACTGACCGGAAAAACTAGCAATTTCAAATGTCCCGCGCTGTGAATTGGTCAACTATCTCCCACAATGCACTTGGAAAAATGAACTCTCCATGGCAAACTCTTGGTGGCGCACTGCATTGTGAATCACCCGAATTGCCTATAACTGAAATGTTGCACAATGCAATATTTTACACAAGTTACGCAATAAAATGTGACGTAAGTTGAGTTCAGCCATTGCGCAACGTTTCTTTAAAATCAGCTGTTGAAATTTATTCCCGTCTACTAACACCCCCCCCCCCCCCCCCCCCCCTCACTTTCCCATTTTAGGCCATCTACAAGATGGTGGGAACCGTCATGAAAATGCCAGAGGACGAGTCCACCCCGGAGAAGCGCACCGACAAGATCTTTCGCCAGATGGACAAGAACATGGATGGCAAGCTGTCGCTGGCCGAGTTTGTGGAAGGCGCAAAGAGCGACCCGTCTATCGTCCGGTTGTTACAGTGTGACCCAAGCGGGGGCGGCGGTAGTATGATGTAAAATTTTTCTCTGCAACGTCGTAGTCTGCTAGTAGGTTATACGTGATGCTCCGTTGTGGTATGATCTTGGCAAAAATCCCTTCATCAAGAGAATAATTTGGTCTGTGAGTTTTTTAGCTGTGGCTGAGCAGCTCTGGAAGTAGTCATGTCTCTCTGTTGGTTGGTTGGTTAGTAACAAACTTCAGCATATGCCTTGTTTGGCAATCAATCACCTTGTCCCTTAGGCCCCGCAACAACACGTGCTTCAGGTCTCCACTGACCAGCTACCGATTTATTGCAGGCGTGGAAAATTGGGTCACGAGGTCACTCAATTCACATTGGGGCTGGCACTGTACTGCACTCAAATTGGGTGTTCCACATGCTATAAAACGCTCCATGCACCAACTGACGTTCAACAAAATAATGGGAATCCTTTTCAATTGACAGACATGACCAGTGAGTAGTTGTGCATCATAAGAACAGACTTTTACATCACGTACATGACATAGGCTACAGCAAGTCTACAGTTGGGCTGCAGCTTCCAATATCTCGTCAAGCTTCTTTTACTGACTAGTTATAAAGAAAAGGGTACTGTTCTAAATAACTGGTCCTACGTTTTTTTTAATTTTTGACATTTTTTGGTCCAAGGTGGAATGACGCTCAACTCAAATCTTAAAACTGGGAGTGTCCTTTTTTTATTAAAAGTCCTTCCGTTCGCCTAATTGAATCCATCAGAACATTGCACAAACAAAATAGTTTTTAAAGCAAGATCGATGAAATATGATGTATCAAAGTTGTTCTTTTTAAGAGCGGGTTTGCATTTATACAAAATAACACAAAGTTATGCTGTGTTTTAAAAGCATTTCAGTCGTTGGGTGCACCACAAAGTGACGTATCGTCTATGGACTTCGTGCACACGATCGTGTTGCAACTGACGACATTTACCATTTAATGCAACTTCGGAACAAATTAATATTTCAATTTTCAAGGCTAAGAATATGTTTAAAACGAATTGCTTCATGAGTGCCCATCCAATAACCTTTTCTCAAAAAAAGAACACACTCTCTGAAAAAAAATATTTAAAGTTTAAATTCAGACCAATGGACAGATGAGATATTATAGGAAGTCTGCGTTCTTTCACATGCAGTGTCAGTCTCACGGTAGGTTTGTTTAACGTCCTCGTGTGAACGGGAATAAAGCATGACGATTTGACCCTCTTACGTTATCTTAGCATTCACTATCAGTGCGAACGCAGCGGTCGTGTCGAAAAATAGAAAACTCTACTTTAATACCAAGAAGACTGTAACATGAAAGGTTTTGCCAAGATCGCACCACTTGTTTTTTCTCCGTTGCTTGTTCCGTTTGCTTTTCATATGTGCCCAAGTTCCGTTTAACGTATATATTGAACAAACAAAAGAAATCATTATGTGTGCTACAGAGAAGCGAGTGAAAATGTTAGATCGTAGAATTTTAGCAACTTCTCTTTCATTGCTTAGGAGAAAAATTGTGGCAAATGATTGCGCACGCTGTGGTTCAGTATCTTTTTGTAAATACGAGGGTTTTCGATCGCACTGAAGGTAGAACACTATATGGTTCATAACTTGGTTAGGATTCGACGGAGTTTACAAGTGTCTTATAACATTTCAACTTTTAAAACAAGGAGGGTTTTTTTTTTTTACAATTGTTAAAATGTGTTAAAATGTTTTGCAGCAATGCATACAGATGTGAGACTATGTGTAGATTTGCATGTAGCTGCCTTATAGCTCACTTGATACGGCCAGGTGATTTTGTTCGGTTCGCTATCCACCCTGCGTACGTGTGTTTCAGTTCATGGATGCTTCATTACATTTCCGGAGGGATTCCGAATGGCTTATAAGTTCAGGCATGGACTTGTTCACAATTCATAGGGGATTTCGTAAGAGACAAACGACTTCAGCATGTCGTTGGTTCAGCAAGTATTCGGCATGCACATTTTCTGATCAGGAGCCGTCATAGAATTCCTGAAATCCACAATAATATGGCAAATGAAGAAGGATTTCGTGTCCTTCTGGTAGGAAATCGAATGACGTCAGGACAAGTATTTTTTCCTTGAGGAGATTGAATCCTCGGTCCTGATTGGTCGATCCACGGCAACAATTGCGTGGTGTTATCCCGTATCGGATTGTCCGTACAGCGTGGTGCGTATTGCGTGCTTTGTAAGATGCACGAGTATTCCTCCGTCTCTTACGCGTTGAACGTTCGTTATCAATTGTGAAATGTCAAAAATCCACATGTTTTGCAGAAAGTGACCTGAACCTGAACAACGTATTATTATTAACAAACAAACAAAAACTTTCATTGTGTAAAAAGGCACAGCTGAAGTGCGTGTTAAAAAAGTTTTAGCGGGGAAAAACAAAAGAAATTGTGCACATAATTGCAGGCCTTGTTTGATATTTTTGGAATTTTTTAATAGATTATTTAAATTTTACACATTGACAAAATGTTCATATTTTCTCAGTGTTGTATCGATGTTGACCATTTGTTTTTATTTACACTTTGGTGTTGCAGAAATTAACCGGCTTGTAGATATATAATGTGAAGACATAATAGTCAAAGTAGCTAATTCAAGTAATCCAAAGTTTTTGGGGGATATTTCCGAAGTTTAACCGTGAACACAAACGCTATTTTCTTTTGTTGTAGAGTAACTGTATTTAGCAGTAATGAACAAAAGTGCATTGTCATTTTCTGTCTCTTACAACGGCTTTGCAATTCAAATTTCTACTCCATATTGGAATGGATTCCTGCTCCATCTCATGGCATTTTGCGAGGAAACCTATGGGTCACTAGGCACCAGACTATTCTAAAACCTCAGGTTGCAGACCAGTAAATAGGCCCGAAAGTGCCTCTGCGGGACAAATCACAATTGCATGCCCTCATTTTTGTTGCTATTAGAGCATTTTGTGGGCAAAGAACTTAAGTTTTATAAAATAAAAAGTGTGGAAGCCGTGAACATGACTGCAACCTCATATTTCTGTCAAATTCGGATGAAATTGGGCCCTAAAATTGCTCTAGTTTTGCAATGGGGTGCAGGCATCATTTTTCAAAATGGCAATGGGCTTCAGGATTACTTTTAGGGGTGATCATCTTTGGATGAAATTTTCTCCCAAAAGTCATTGGTTAACCCCAAAAATATTGAACAGAAAATGAAATATGATGAAATAAGCCTTAATTTGATGCGCGTCTCAAACACCTTGGAGAGATGTATTTTTTCCTGAATTTCAGAAGGAGGGGCATTTATCATGGAGGTCTATGGCAGTTTTTTAGCTGGTTTGCAACCTATAGGTTGCAATGGTCACCGTGGGCATGGGTACCAGCACGGTGCACCTAGTGATATTGGTCAATATTGTCGGTTGTCTTGATGTACATCAAATTGTGCGAAAAATGCATCCAAATCCAATAAAGATATAAAATACATGTAGATTGTCCGTGCATCAAAGTGCGCTTATTTAATATCTCTTTCTCATTTTACATGTAGATGTAAATTAAAATCATGACTTCTCCCGATTCTTCTTGTACAATTTCCTATTTCAATCATGGTTAAAACAGACTTACAAATTCATATTATCAAAACTTGCTATAATGAAATTAAAATTTGCTATGAGACTTTTCCAATATAGTAATATAGTATTGCGAGTCATGAGTGTATTTTTATCATATCATGTACAAGTATGACATGAACGCTTTGGAGCATTATTCCACTTGCAAATACAGGTTTTTCAAATTAATATTTCGCAACAGTCTTGTTTTGTCATTCCTATAATAGCAACTGTCCATACCTTGCTGGGTTTTCGGACCAAACGATTCTTGTCAGTCTCATCTTAATAACGCAACTACAACAAAAACAGCAGTGGATATTACACCTCATACATATTCATGAGCTTAACGCACATCTGTCATTGGTTGGTATTCCAGTGCATCATCTGCAATATGCAAAGTAGTACTGGTCGAATACCTTGGAACAACCGTCACACGTGTCTATCTTTTTCGGGCAATTTTCGTCATTGTGTCACTGGATTCATATCAAGTTTAGTGAACTTGAAACTTGTCGGAGAAAGTAGCGATACTATCCAGCTCTCTATCCATGTAAGATATGAGCTTCCATGTCCAAGAACTGAATAATAATCTCATCTTTATTCACATACGAGGTTATCGCTGGAAATCCAGCAAAAAAAATAAAGAATAAGCCATTCTTAATCACCTTAAAATGAAGCTAAATATGTATGAGGTGTAATACGAAGAAATACAACACAGTGTTTTGTGGGAGTAATTTTCAAAAGATTGGTTATTTTCAGGGGAGCTGTGATACTTATTGGACTCCTCGTGAACATATCATTTCCCCAACCAGGAATTATTTTGTGAGGAGGAACATAAGTGCTAGATGCAATAGAGAAACAAACAAACACCCCAACAAATAAACAAACAAAAGACTAATCTGAATAATGAGAACAAAGTAGTAAAGAACATGCTTCTTCAGAGTCTAAATTGTAGTAACTACATGTATGAATATATATCAATAGTAAATGGGATAACTCTTAATACTTTGTTGTTATTTTACAGCTAAACTGCAATTAACTTTGTTTACTAATTTAGAAATATCTGTAGGTATGGAGAAACCAGAACTAAATTCCGATAGTCTAGACGCCTTGTAAAAGACGGAATTTTTACAATTATTTTTGTTAAGGGAATGTTTTAATCATTTGCATTTTTCACAGCATTTTAATCTGAAACGTTTTGTTGTGTCAAAGTGTTCTTCTGAACTTTACTCCAATTTTCAATATTAAAAAAAAAGACAACGGAAAGTTCCTCCTGCATTTGTTTGATTCTGAAATACGATCTTGCCCATTTTTTTTTTATTCGGGGAGGGCATTCTGCTTTCAACTATCATGAGTTGACCTTACTGTAAATTTTTTGACGTTAAGATTTTTTTTTCATGAAATTGCTGCAAACATACAGTGCATTACATCGATATGCATATCATTCAAAATAGTTGTGTTGTGATTCTTCATGAATTCGTACCATGACCACAAAAAGTAGGTTCCATTTCAATGCACTGTCCAAATTCTACCTCTGTAAAGAGAGATTCTACGCATTTAATGTCAAAATACCTGTTGAAAAGATGGCCTCTTAACATATAAAAACAAAAAGTCTAACAATATTCAAGTCTAGTTCTGGTAGCTCAATGACATATTGTATAAAAAATACTGCTTTGATGTAAATTTTTTGTTTTTAATGTAGGTGCAGTCTGTTAGATTATACATAACGAATCATTCAGTGTTCAAGACTTTTACAGTTGTAAAGCAATTAGCTAATAGTATGTAGTTCTAAATAATAACCATTTATGTGTTTTTTTATTAATTTTTGGTGAAAAGGTTTTTTTCGTCAATTTTTTTTCCAATAATTTGTGGACTGCATACATTATATCTTGCCCTGTTTCAAAGACATTTTGTAGAGCCGTCTCCACAGTGTGAATTAAGCGTTTAATTTCTTCATGCGTGCAGTATCGTTATGTGGTTAAGTTCAAAGTAACAACAACAACTAGAAAGTAGTAAGAATACTAATAGAAGATCAATAATTTGATATGAAAAATGTACAAATTGCTTAATTTTTTTTTGATGTTAAGCGCTTTTGTTTGGTGTGCTGCTTACGTGTTTGCATGTACATAAAAGGTTTTGTGTTATACATGCACATGTATTTCTGGGGAGTTTTGGTTTGTTTTGTGTCTTATGCTTTGACTGTACTCGGTTTAGTTTGCTGGCTAGAACCATTCTTCACAGAAAGACTAAACTGATTCGAGTTTGTAACACATTGAAATTGTCAACGCTGTCAATTTTTTTTAAAGTTTGGTTTGTGTACGGTTTGCATTTTTCTCATTTACAATATTGTGGTGGTAAGCAACTTAATGCCTATTATTTGTATGAGTCGCTGGCTATGTGTAGCTTGCCGGTTTGACTTATGGAACAGATCTTTCAGCCAAAAGAAACCAAAAAGACGGAAAAAAGGAACAAAAGATGTCGTGATTGGACATTCCAAAACAATTACATAAACTTTGAATTCCAATATTAAACAAACCTTGATCTGTGTTTGAGTTTGATGTGAAGTGTTCAAACCCAATGTGATCCTGCAGTAGCTTGTCTGGTATGTACAAATGGATATATTGGGTAAAATCGATGGGAAACGGTCAAATCAGTGTATTGTAAAGTTTCCAACGGGAATGTTAGAGTTTCATTCTACAACTCTCCAATTTTCTGACTTAATGTTGCTTCAAGGTATAGTTATTGTGTTTTTTGGAGTTGTTTATAGATGTTGTTATAGCCAGGGAGCTGAATTCGTACAAACCACTGTAAAGCAGTTGTGAGGTCCATTATAATTGTAACGATTGACTAATATCAGTCAACTGTTTATGAACAAGTCCATTGACCAAGCACCTTACATCACTGTTTTCACGAACTGACACGCACACGCCGTGTGCGCGCACTTCGTATGATAATTAGCTGTGGAATGGTTGGTTGGTTGGTTAGTGACAAATTTCACCAAATGCCATTTTTTGGCAATCAATCACCTTGTCCCTTAGGCCTCCGCATCACCACATGCTTCAGGTCCCCACTGACCAGCTACCAATTTATTGCAGTCGTGGAATATTGGTTCATTAGATTATTTTGTTTACTAGACTCAAGACCACATGACTTGCGATTGATCCGTTACAATTTGGGTAACTTTGAGACGGATTTGCTTACAACTCTGGTATGAGCAGTTGCCCTATAACAAAAGGAAGTGTCAAGCCCTGCTTTGAAACCGTACTGACTTGCTCATCCAATCCCACCCCCCTGTGCACTTAGACCCCGCCCCCAAGTAGGGGTTCACAGCTACTGTGTCATTTGCACTAAAGTTGCTGGCAACTTAAAATATAAACTCTCACACAGTCCCTGTATCTGTCGTACACCACTTGATAACTTGCAAGTTGTTAACTCTTAAAATAAGTAAATTGTACAAACATAAAAAGAAAATCTTACTATATTACATCCATTCTGTTTTGATCCTGTTATATCTCTCTTGGTTGGGTTTTTTTTTTGAAAAGTGTTTGTGAAAATTGTTCATTTTTTTGTGCACCACTTTACGATAGCCCTGGTCACTGAATGTAGTCGAGTGTATGTTTATGGTTACATATTTTATTCATTCTCTATTAAAATATATACGATTTACAAAATACTCGTGGTTGTTTTCATTGTGTGTTGCTTCGTAAACGAAAGGTGTAAAGAAATGAGGAGCGCTATGGTTCAATGGTTACGGTGTTAAGCTCGCGTGCCGTGGTACGTGGGTTCGAACCCTGACGGGGAACATGGTGCTTTTGTTCTTGGGCAAGACACTTTACTACAAGTGTCTCTCTCCACTTAGGAGTATAAATGGGTACCTGTGAAGGTAGAGACCAGAATGCGCTGATCTCGAGCTGCTGCAAGAACTGGTCTCATGGCCTGATGAACAGGGGTAATAATAAGCCTCTGTACTGATGACGTCACACCTTGTTTACATGTGTGCTTTCCTATGGTACTCGGTAGACTGTGGGCCCCCACTGGCTCCATAGGAATGTGCACATGTAAACAAAGTGTGACGTCCTCAGTACAGAGGCTTATTGTGAAGCGCTTTGAGACCTTTAGTATAAACCGCTATATAAGCACCACATTATTATTAAGGGAATAAATGTGTGTTTGGCCGGTTTTAAACACTATGTTTCAGACTGGTTTGAGTCTGGATGCTGAGCGAGGGTAATTATCAGCATCCAGACTCCAACCAGTCTTAAACATAGTGTTTAATACCAGCCAAGCACATATTTATTCAATCAAAACTTTTCGGTTCAAAAGTCAAAACAAGTCAAAAATTACAAATTTCTAACGATTTCGTTAACACGCCAGCTATGCTGTGGTATATCTCATAAACAACTCCTATATTGACGTGCGCGTTGCCCGTAACACAGCGGTGTTTTACCAGCGGTTTAAAACCACCCACGTGACAGACTCTCGACCAATAGGAATTGCTAAACTGTTTCAGGTATTTCTGAATGTAATATGACACCATATGTTTAATCACTAATAAAGGTACAAGTAACAGCAGTTGAAGAATTAGAAAACCAAATGATGGCCGAAAATGAAGACCAGATGAACAGATCAATGAATATCTCCTAGTCCTGCCTAGCTCTTGAGGAAGACTCTTGATCAGATATCAAGGTAGGAAGGGCAGCTTGTTCTGGTACAGGCATGGATGATGGAGCTGCCATAGATGCAGGAACTGGAGCTGGTTCAAACAGTCTCGTGGATAGGTGATCTTGAATCCACTGGCATGCAGTGTGGACCTTGGTTGGCGGGCCTGGACATCAAAATATAAACACTGGTATTCTACTCCATATCTTGTATTTGATTTACAAAAAATGGTCCAGAGTCAATATGGCTTTAAAGGGAATATTCAACATTCGATTTTGCTGTAATTTTCAGAAATGGATGGATTTGGGGGCTTAGTATTTCATAGGAAATATTGTTGCACTGACTTGTTAGAAGTTTTGTGTTCGTAGATGCTGAAAAACCAAGAAAAACAACCATGTTCCTGTAGTCTGGTTCCCTGATCCACTTAAGATGAAACAGAGCAATTCATAGACGTCATGGAATTGTAAGGTTGGAGAAACAGTCTAGCTGGCTTGTACCCGTTCATAGGTGTGTAATTTATTGCAAACAAATGCAACCTAAATGAATAATGGTAATTTGGGGGCAGTATTTGAATAAAGCTAGTTTTTTTCCAACGCTGGTCGCCCGACCAGCATTGGAAAATAATACAAAAATACTACTTTTCTTAAAAATGACGGCACATCAGGTGCCATGATTTTACAGAATGCTTTAGACTGTCATTCACTAAAAGTCCAGTAAGGTATTTCACATTAATTTGGTAGTTTTGTTTTTTGATGTTTGCGAATGTTGTATATTTTCTTTAAGGTATCCTTAGCATGAAACGACTGAGAATATACCTAGATGGGATGCAAGTCCATTGCAGGTTACTCCCCAGCTAATGGCGGTACCCATTTATACTCCTGGGTGGAGAGAGGCAAGTATATAATAAAGTATAATGCTTTTATTTCAATGATATTTGTTTCCTATAGAATTCCTTTACCTGTCAATGAGAGGCATTTCAGTCCACCAACAGATGAAGCATTCACCTTGATCCCCATTTTTCTCAACTCCTTCAGATTTTTCCCCTGCAAATTGATGGTTTGCAGTGACTACAATTCTCACAAAATAATTTAATTTTGAGCATGACAATAAAGAAATCAAATTTAATTTCATCTAATCTAATCTATTCTCAATAGACCTTTATCATGCTGCCACCATTTCAGTTATGTTCCCTGTATCCAATAACAGTACTGAATGATAATGGGGTTTTTTTTGCGAAAAGGAACCAGACTATTTTCCTTCCAGCCTCGCTTTGGTTGCGTTGATTGGAATGGGGGAAAATATCCATGACTGCAACATGATAATGGTCTATTTCATTTGTAATTATTAGTTGACATGCATCCTGTTTGACTGAAATGTTTCAGATATATTTCCAAAGAAACATACTCTGCTTTTTCCTGACGGTAATAACCCTTATTTGACTGACACATGAAACAGCACAAGTTTATAGTTCAAGTACATCCATACCAATTCTAATTTCTGTTCTCAGACAAATAAGTTGTTTTAAAGAATTTTCAGACAATAAGAAAATAACTCATTGCCTTTTCCCCTAACGAATGTTATTAGACTTTTTCTTTCCTAACCACATTTGCTGCAACTGTACATTGTCAATATAGTTTGCAAATGTTGTGGGGAAAAAAGTAATAAAAGTTTCAAACTTACATTATGCCCAACAACTCTGCCATATTGTCGATTGGTACTGTAGTAATTTTCCCTGCAGTAAACAATTGAAAGAAAGCATACCAATTGTTTGAAACTATCCTGCTTATAAACTTGGATACTAACCTCATTTAAAGCTACAAAATACTACTATAGTAGTAAACTGTATGGTATGCAGTATTTGAGCATATAAGTGGCCACAATACACATAGCATTTTTTAGTATTTACCTGCATACATAATTTTTTGCAGTACTTTGTAGTATGTGGTACTTAATCCCATTTGAAATCTTAATATAATAATAACTTTGATAATAAGATGTAAAGATACCACTCACGTAATAATTTCTTCTGTCTCCTTTGCTGTTGTTAGAAGGCCCTCAACTTCATGAGCTGATATCTCCAAAATACCCTGAGTGACAAACAATAAGTCCTTTGCTGTGAATATTTAACAATTTCAAGCGAATGAATAATTTTTTCCATACTGTTAGAGAGTATTTTCTGTTGTAAGAATTAAGACCTTCAAATTCAAGTGCTGATTTTTGGATAAGTATTTTGTTGTGAACATAATTCCAAGTATATTTTCTAGACATCTTACCAAAGAAGTAAAAATGGCCAGAAAATCTTACCACTTCAACACTTTTGTGAAGAAGGTCCTTAGCTAGTTGAATGCTTTCAGCTGTGCCTACAGTTTGAAAAAGAGCATATCAAAATTACTTCATCTGGCATTATGTGTTTTTAAATAATATAATGACACTACTCTAAAGTTATTATAAGATTTCTGAACATATCAATACCCTAGAAGTGTTTCTTTTTCGTTCACAATTTCTTTTATGCACTTTGAATTTTTATTATTTCAACAAATGCTTTATCAAGTTATTTATTTATCTGACTATACACATTTGTTAAAGAGATGAAAATGGTAAACCACCATCTCAGATTTTATTGTCATAATGAGACAGACTTTTCTTCAAAGGTCAGCTTTTGTTAACAGTAAAGTGTGAACAGGAATGTAACAAAGTGCTGTGATTCGATCTGGGTCCTTACCTTCGAGGTGTAGGAACTGATGTTTCTCATCCAGCTGACCATAATTAGTTTTCACGTTGCAGTGTTGTTGGACATGTTTCAGATGTTTACCCTGAATCAAAATAAAAGGAGACCGTACAAAACTAATTTGTACAGATCTCGTTTAACAAGAGTAGGCTTTCTATAGACACGCTGGACCCAAAAGTCTTAGTTTTGGGACATTACTAATGCTCAGAGACTCAGTTTAGTAAGTCAGTCAGTCCGTGACTTAGTCAGTCAGTCTAGGAGTGATAGGACAGTCAGCTTGCGCATCCGGCTTCCTCTAAAACTGACTTCTGAAGTGAAATTGCTACCAAGCACAGGAGTCTAGTGCATTAAGCCTAGTTAATCTGTCTACCAGAGAACACACACTACATACCCTTTTCCCGATAACACGCCCCATCGAACCATTCTTGATCTTCAAGACAGCAACATGATATTGGTTATTGTTGGTTTCCCTCAGAGAGATGGCACTTGAAGAGGCATCAGGTCCCTCATGTAGGCCATCGGCTGCAGTGTGACTGTTGACATCAGACGGACTTGCTGTTTCACTGTTAATGCTCGGAGTTCCAAATGTTGCTCCCTGCTGATCCATCGTTGGGTTACGCTCAATACTTGACATGTTTGCTATATTCTCGATCATTTGGGAGGAGACAACAGTCTTGTGTTCATCAACGACAGCCGAAGCAACATCCTCCAATGTTGGTGGCATTACAGATTCCTCCTTGCAGCTTGTGTGAGGACATGCAGTGGCTTCTAATGGCAGGTTATCAGTTAAATCATGGTCCTTGACTTGGCAAATCTTTGTTGTATCCTTCATGCTGGCTGTCTTTTTATTATAACGAACTATTTCCGGACGGGGCACAGTAGCCACATCATCCTTGCTTGTATAGGTAGGACAGGGGACACTGTTTGTTCCCTGATTATCAGAACTAATGTCTGTTACGACATCTTCGTCAATAGTGTCATCCACACTTGACGAAGGGGAGGAGGCAAGGTCTTTGTCATTAGCCAGATTGTTCTCCACATTCAGTGGCTTTGAAGTTTCTTCCTCAGTGTGGGTAACAGAAGTTTGTTTGTTGGTAGATGTAGGACTGGAAACACTGCCTGTTTCCTGGTTATCAGAACTGATGTGGTCTGTGAATTTATCTCGGTCAAGAGTGTCATCAACACTCGACGAAGGGGAGTATGCAACATATTTGTCATCAGTCGGACTGTTCTCCACATTTAATGGCTTTGCGGGATCTTCCTTAGTTGTTGTAACCGAAGCCTGGGCAAGCTTCAATTTTTGGCCATCCGGCTGATTTTCGGGGCACATCACAGTGGGTGTCGCCTCAGCTGTTTCTTCCCCACTGGTGGAAGCAAGAGGCACAGCTCCTTCCTGGATGTCGATTGGTTCGGCAGGCTCTGATATTTGGCCATCCGGTTGAGTTTCGAGGCACATCACAGTGGGTGTCGCCTCAGTTGTTTCTTCCCCACTGGTGGGAGCAAGGGGTACAGCTCCTTCCTGGATGTCGATTGGTTCGGCAGGCTCTGATATTTGGCCATCCGGCTGAGTTTCGGGCCACATCACAGTGGGTGTCGCCTCAGTTGTTTCTTCTACACTAGTGGAAGCAAGAGGTACATCTCCTTCCTGAATGTCGATTGGTTCGGCAGGCTCTGATATTTGGCCATCCGGCTGATATTCGAGGCACATCACAGTAGGTGTCGCCTCAGTTGTTTCTTCCCCACTGGTGGAAGCAGGAGGCACAGCGCCTTCCTGGATGTCGATTGGTTCGGCAGGCTCTGATATTTGGCCATCCGGATGATATTCGAGGCACATCACAGTGGGTGTCGCCTCAGTTGTTTCTTCTCCACTGGTGGAAGCAAGAGTCACAGCCCCTTCCTTGATGTCGCTTGGTTCGGCAGGCTCTGATATTTGGCCATCCGGCTGATTTTCGGGGCACATCACAGTGGGTGTCGCCTCAGTTGTTTCTTCCCCACTGGTGGAAGCAAGAGGTACAGCTCCTTCCTGGATGCCGATTGGTTCGGCAGGCTCTGATATTTGGCCATCCGGCTGAGTTTCGAGGCACATCACAGTGGGTGTCGCCTCAGTTGTTTCTTCCCCACTGGTGGGAGCAAGAGGTACAGCTCCTTCCTGGATGTCGATTGGTTCGGCAGGCTCTGATATTTGGCCATCCGGCTGAGTTTCGAGGCTCATCACAGTGGGTGTTGCCTCAGTTGTTTCTTCTCCACTGGTGGAAGCAAGAGGTACAGCTCCTTCTTGGATGTCGATTGGTTCGGCAGGCTCCGATATTTGGCCATCCGGCTGATATTCGAGGCACATCACGGTGGGTGTCGCCTCAGTTGTTTCTTCTCCACTGGTGGAAGCAAGAGGTACAGCTCCTTCCTGGATGTCGATTGGTTCGGCAGGCTCTAATATTTGGCCATCCGGCTGATATTCGAGGCACATCACAGTGGGTGTCGCCTCAGTTGTTTCTTCCCCACTGGTGGAAGAAAGAGGCACAGCGCCTTCCTGGATGTCGATTGGTTCGGCAGGCTCTGATATTTGGCCATCCGGCTGATTTTCGAGGCACATCACAGTGGGTGTCGCCTGAGTTGTTTCTTCTCCACTGGTGGAAGCAAGAGTCACAGCCCCTTCCTGGATGTCGCTTGGTTCGGCAGGCTCTGATATTTGGCCATCCAGCTGATTTTCGGGGCACATCACGGTGGGTGTTGCCTCAGCTGTTTCTTCTCCACTGGTGGAAGCAAGAGGTACAACTCCTTTCTGGATGTCGATTGGTTTGGCAGGCTCTGATATTTGGCCATCTGGCTGATTTTCGGGGCACATCACAGTGGGTGTCGCCTGAGTTGTTTCTTCTCCACTGGTGGAAGCAAGAGTCACAGCCCCTTCCTGGATGTCGATTGGTTTGGCAGGCTCTGATATTTGGCTATCCAGCTGATTTTCGAGGCACATTACAGTGGGTGTTGCCTCAGTTGTTTCTTCCCCACTGGTGGAAGCAAGAGGCAAAGCTCTTTCCTGGATGTCGATTGGTTTGGCAGGCTCTGATATTTGGCCATCCGGCTGATATTCGAGGCACATCACAGTGGGTGTTGCCTCAGCTGTTTCTTCTCCACTGGTGGAAGCAAGAGGCACAGCTCCTTCCTGGATGTCGATTGGTTCGGCAGGCTCTGATATTTGGCCATCCGGCTGATTTTCGGGGCACATCACGGTGGGTGTTGCCTCAGTTGTTTCTTCCCCACTGGTGGGAGCAAGAGGTACAGCTCCTTCCTGGATGTCGATTGGTTCGGCAGGCTCTGATATTTGGCCATCCGGCTGAGTTTCGGGGCACATCACAGTGGGTGTCGCCTCAGTTGTTTCTTCCCCACTGGTGGGAGCAAGAGGTACAGCTCCTTCCTGGATGCCGATTGGTTCGGCAGGCTCTGATATTTGGCCATCCGGCTGAGTTTCGAGGCACATCACAGTGGGTGTCGTCTCAGTTGTTTCTTCCCCACTGGTGGGAGCAAGAGGTACAGCTCCTTCCTGGATGTCGATTGGTTCGGCAGGCTCTGATATTTGGCCATCCGGCTGAGTTTCGGGGCACATCACAGTGGGTGTCGCCTCAGTTGTTTCTTCCCCACTGTGGGAAGCAAGAGGTACAGCTCCTTCCCAGAGGTCGATTGGTTCGGCAGGCTCTGATATTTGGCCATCCGGCTGATATTCGTGGCACATCACAGTGGGTGTCGCTGCAGTTGTTTCTTCTCCAAAAATGGTGGAAGCAAGAGGCACAGCTCCTTCCTGGCTGTCGATTGGTTCGGCAGACTCTGATATTTGGCCATCCGGCTGATTTTTGAGGCACATCACAGTGGGTGTCGCCTTAGTTGTTTCTTCCCCACTGGTGGAAGCAAGAGGCACAGCTCCTTCCTGGATGTCGATTGGTTCGGCAGACTCTGATATTTGGCCATCCGGCTGATTTTTGAGGCACATCACAGTGGGTGTCGCCTTAGTTGTTTCTTCCCCACTGGTGGAAGCAAGAGGCACAGCTCCTTCCTGGATGTCGATTGGTTCGGCAGGCTCTGATATTTGGCTATCCGACTGATTTTCGAGGCACATTACAGTGGGTGTTGCCTCAGTTGTTTCTTCCCCACTGGTGGAAGCAAGAGGCAAAGCTCTTTCCTGGATGTCGATTGGTTTGGCAGGCTCTGATATTTGGCCATCCGGCTGATATTCGAGGCACATCACAGTGGGTGTTGCCTCAGCTGTTTCTTCTCCACTGGTGGAAGCAAGAGGCACAGCTCCTTCCTGGATGTCGATTGGTTCGGCAGGCTCTGATATTTGGCCATCCGGCTGATTTTCGGGGCACATCACGGTGGGTGTTGCCTCAGTTGTTTCTTCCCCACTGGTGGGAGCAAGAGGTACAGCTCCTTCCTGGATGTCGATTGGTTCGGCAGGCTCTGATATTTGGCCATCCGGCTGAGTTTCGGGGCACATCACAGTGGGTGTCGCCTCAGTTGTTTCTTCCCCACTGGTGGGAGCAAGAGGTACAGCTCCTTCCTGGATGCCGATTGGTTCGGCAGGCTCTGATATTTGGCCATCCGGCTGAGTTTCGAGGCACATCACAGTGGGTGTCGTCTCAGTTGTTTCTTCCCCACTGGTGGGAGCAAGAGGTACAGCTCCTTCCTGGATGTCGATTGGTTCGGCAGGCTCTGATATTTGGCCATCCGGCTGAGTTTCGGGGCACATCACAGTGGGTGTCGCCTCAGTTGTTTCTTCTCCACTGTGGGAAGCAAGAGGTACAGCTCCTTCCCAGAGGTCGATTGGTTCGGCAGGCTCTGATATTTGGCCATCCGGCTGATATTCGTGGCACATCACAGTGGGTGTCGCTGCAGTTGTTTCTTCTCCAAAAATGGTGGAAGCAAGAGGCACAGCTCCTTCCTGGCTGTCGATTGGTTCGGCAGACTCTGATATTTGGCCATCCGGCTGATTTTTGAGGCACATCACAGTGGGTGTCGCCTTAGTTGTTTCTTCCCCACTGGTGGAAGCAAGAGGCACAGCTCCTTCCTGGATGTCGATTGGTTCGGCAGACTCTGATATTTGGCCATCCGGCTGATTTTTGAGGCACATCACAGTGGGTGTCGCCTTAGTTGTTTCTTCCCCACTGGTGGAAGCAAGAGGCACAGCTCCTTCCTGGATGTCGATTGGTTCGGCAGGCTCTGATATTTGGCTATCCGACTGATTTTCGAGGCACATCACAGTGGGTGTCGCCTTAGTTGTTTCTTCTCCACTGGTGGAAGCAAGAGGCACAGCTCCTTCCTGGATGTCGATTGGTTTGGCAGGCTCTGATATTTGGCCATCCGGCTGATATTCGTGGCACATCACAGTGGATGTCGCCTGAGTTGTTTCTTTCCCACTGGTGGAAGCAAGAGGCACAGCTCCTTCCTGGATGTCGATTGGTTCGGCAGGCTCTGATATTTGGCCATCCGGCTGATATTCGTGGCACATCACAGTGGGTGTCGCCTCAGTTGTTTCTTCTCCACTGATGGAAGCAAGAGGCACAGCTCCTTCCTGGATGTCGATCGGTTCAGCAGGCGCGGATAATTGGCCATCCGGCTGAGTTTTGGGGCACATCACAGTGGGTGTCGCCTCAGTTGTTTCTTTCCCACTGGTGGAAGCAAGAAGCACAGCTCCTTCCTGGATGTCGATTGGTTCGGCAGGCTCTGATATTTGGCCATTCGGCTGATATTCGTGGCACATCACAGTGGGTGTCGCCTCAGTTGTTTCTTTCCCACTGGTGGAAGCAAGAAGCACAGCTCCTTCCTGGATGTCGATCGGTTCGGCAGGCGCGGATAATTGGCCATCCGGCTGATTTTCGGGGCACATCACAGTGGGTGTCGCCTCAGTTGTTTCTTCTCCACTGATGGAAGCAAGAGGCACAGCTCCTTCCTGGATGTCGATCGGTTCAGCAGGCGCGGATAATTGGCCATCCGGCTGAGTTTTGGGGCACATCACAGTGGGTGTCGCCTCAGTTGTTTCTTCTCCACTGATGGAAGCAAGAGGCACAGCTCCTTCCTGGATGTCGATTGGTTCGGCAGGCGCGGATAATTGGCTATCCGACTGATTTTCGAGGCACATCACAGTGGGTGTCGCCTTAGTTGTTTCTTCTCCACTGGTGGAAGCAAGAGGCACAGCTCCTTCCTGGATGTCGATTGGTTTGGCAGGCTCTGATATTTGGCCATCCGGCTGATATTCGTGGCACATCACAGTGGATGTCGCCTGAGTTGTTTCTTTCCCACTGGTGGAAGCAAGAGGCACAGCTCCTTCCTGGATGTCGATTGGTTCGGCAGGCTCTGATATTTGGCCATCCGGCTGATATTCGTGGCACATCACAGTGGGTGTCGCCTCAGTTGTTTCTTCTCCACTGATGGAAGCAAGAGGCACAGCTCCTTCCTGGATGTCGATCGGTTCAGCAGGCGCGGATAATTGGCCATCCGGCTGAGTTTTGGGGCACATCACAGTGGGTGTCGCCTCAGTTGTTTCTTTCCCACTGGTGGAAGCAAGAAGCACAGCTCCTTCCTGGATGTCGATTGGTTCGGCAGGCTCTGATATTTGGCCATTCGGCTGATATTCGTGGCACATCACAGTGGGTGTCGCCTCAGTTGTTTCTTTCCCACTGGTGGAAGCAAGAAGCACAGCTCCTTCCTGGATGTCGATCGGTTCGGCAGGCGCGGATAATTGGCCATCCGGCTGATTTTCGGGGCACATCACAGTGGGTGTCGCCTCAGTTGTTTCTTCTCCACTGATGGAAGCAAGAGGCACAGCTCCTTCCTGGATGTCGATCGGTTCAGCAGGCGCGGATAATTGGCCATCCGGCTGAGTTTTGGGGCACATCACAGTGGGTGTCGCCTCAGTTGTTTCTTCTCCACTGATGGAAGCAAGAGGCACAGCTCCTTCCTGGATGTCGATTGGTTCGGCAGGCGCGGATAATTGGCCATCCGGCTGATTTTCGGGGCACATCACAGTGGGTGTCGCCTCAGTTGTTTCTTCCCCACTGGTGGAAGCAAGAGGCACAGCTCCTTCCTGGATGTCGATTGGTTCGGCAGGCGCGGATAATTGGCCATCCGGCTGATTTTCGGGGCACATCACAGTGGGTGTCGCCTCAGTTGTTTCTTCCCCACTGGTGGAAGCAAGAGGCACAGCTCCTTCCTGGATGTCGCTTGGTTCGGCAGGCTCTGATATTTGGCCATCCGGCTGATTTCCGAGGCACATCACAGTGGGTGTCGCCTGAGTTGTTTCTTCCCCACTGGTTGAAGCAAGAGGCACAGCTCCTTCCTGGATGTCGATTGGTAATTCGGCAGGCTCTGATATTTGGCCATCCGGCTGATTTCCGAGGCACATTACAGTGGGTGTCGCCTCAGTTGTTTCTTCTCCACTGGTGGAAGCAAGAGGCACAGCTCCTTCCTGGATGTCGCTTGGTTCGGCAGGCTCTGATATTTGGCCATCCGGCTGATTTCCGAGGCACATCACAGTGGGTGTCGCCTTAGTTGTTTCTTCTCCACTGGTGGAAGCAAGAGGCACAGCTCCTTCCTGGATGTTGGTTGGTTCGGCAGGCTCCGATATTTGGCCATCCGGCTGATGTTCGAGGCACATCACAGTGGGTGTCGCCTGAGTTGTTTCTTCCCCACTGGTTGAAGCAAGAGGCACAGCTCCTTCCTGGATGTCGATTGGTAATTCGGCAGGCTCTGATATTTGGCCATCCGGCTGATTTCCGAGGCACATTACAGTGGGTGTCGCCTCAGTTGTTTCTTTTCCACTGGTGGAAGCAACAGGCACATCTCCTTCCTGGATGTCGATTGGTTCGGCAGGCGCGGATATTTGGCCATCCGGCTGATTTTCGGGGCACATTACAGTGGGTGTCGCCTCAGATGTTTCTTCTCCACTGGTGGAAGCAAGAGGCACAGCGCCTTCCTGGATGTCGCTTGGTTGGGTGGGCTCTGATATTTGGCCATCCGGCTGATTTTCGAGGCACATCACAGTGGGTGTCACCTCAGTTGTTTCTTCCCCACTGGTGGAAGCAAGAGGCACAGCGCCTTCCTGGATGTCGATTGGTTCGGCAGGCGCGGATAATTGGCCATCCGGCTGATTTTCGGGGCACATCACAGTGGGTGTCGCCTCAGTTGTTTCTTCTCCACTGGTGGAAGCAAGAGGCACATCTCCTTCCTGGATGTCGATCGGTTCGGCAGGCGCGGATAATTGGCCATCCAGCTGATTTTCGGGGCACATCACAGTGGGTGTCGCCTCAGTTGTTTCTTCTCCACTGGTGGAAGCAAGAGACACAGCTCCTTCCTGGATGTCGATTGGTTTGGCAGGCTCTGATATTTGGCCATCCGGCTGATTTTTGAGGCATATCACAGTGGGTGTTGCCTCAGCTGTTTCTTCCCCACTGGTGGTAACGAGAGGCACAACTCCTTCCTGGATGTCGCTAGGCGGAGTGTGGCCCTCAAAATGGGATGAACTTGCTGGTTCGGCCTTGGTGATGGTTGCAGGAGTATCGGTTGGGCTGTTGGTCGTTTTCCTCGTCATTGGCTCTAACGCTTTTTCCTCAACCCGGAGAGAAAGATGAGGATCAGTTCTCCGCAACACACCGTGAATGGGAATGGCATGACTGCGCAAAGAAAGTGGAAAGGCAACATTTTTAAGAGCTGAACCATTCCTCAACCGAAAAAACAATCAATGTTAATATCATCAAAGGTTAATAGTCTACCGTCAAAAAGTTCTTAACAAAGGCTTAGCTTTTATGTTAAATTAACACATTCTTTGTTTGGGTAGTATCATACAATATTTTCAGTTGAAATCTTTATCAAACTGTTAGTACATTGTTCTGAAGAGCATCTCTTATAGGTTCAGTTTTAGTTCTTTTCCGTACAGGGGTGAGTAGTATTTATGACTGAAAGGTCGCATGATCATTTATCATACCTCGTGATGTCATAAAGAACAGCTTCAAAGTCTGAAACCTGCTCTTGTTCCCAGACTTGATCTATGTCTGTCTCCATGGTGATCTCTTCTGTAGATCTAGGAGCCAGTCTCCTGAAGACAGCAAACGCTGCTATACCAGCGCCAATGGCGCCGGCTGCAAGAATCACTGAGATTGGTCTGGAAGGTGAAAAACATTATAAACTTTCTGCTCTCCTTAAATTCGTTAGCATTTTAATTTTATAATGAAGAAGTCCATGCTAAGTTGCTAATGATAAAATATCAGGCCATTCTAATTGTTTGATTTGAACTTTATTTTATGCGATCTTATTTGTTATCAAGGGCAGTGAGTAAGTAAGAGAAAATGTCTCAGTTTGTTCTTCAGACTCGTTTGTGTATTTCTTTACATGTGATCGTCTGCACTTATCCACTTTGAATAGCTCCTGTTTGCAACTCCATTATTTGGGCTGAATTAACGTAGGGACAATGGGCTCAGCCGGTTCTGGAAGACCAGTGATGGGCGGACACAACTGAGACGGGTAGTACGTACGTTCCACAGGCATATCGCTTCCAAGGGAAGAAGGTGTTTTGTATGATTGGATTCTGCAGTGTTGTTGTCTGAATTGTTGAGAGTGACACTGGTAAAACCGGTAGTTGGGAACAAATATGGTGGGCCGCATGGGATGGCTACAACTGAACAACCAAAGAGCTAGTCCCAACATATTTTGATTGTTTATATGGACGCACGGTACAAATGAACGACTTATGATCCACAAACTGTCACTTTAAAATTTAAATTATTATATTGAATGATTGCACTTCCGGTTAGTGGACATTATAAAGTTGATCGGATGAATTAAAGTTCCCACTGGCTTGTAGCATGAAAACGTGTTGTACAAAACCTGAAGAAGGAAAGTCAAGCTTTGGCGCAGACAGTAATTAAAACTGATTCAAGAAAAGTACAGTATAGGCCTAAATTAAGTATATATGTCTATTGTCTATATATGGACGCACGGTACAAAGAACGACTTATACATAAACTGTCACTTTAAAAATTGAAATTATAATCTTCAATGATTGCAATTCGGGTTAGTGGATATTGTAATTATAAAGTTGATCGGATGAATGAAAGTTCCCAAGTGGCTAATTGAAGCATGAAAACGTGTACAAAACCTGAAGAAGGAAAGTCAAGCTGTGGCACAGACAGTGATTAAAACTGATTCAAGAAAAGTACAGTCGGCCTAAATTAAGTGAAATTATATGAAATCATTTTTTCCCAAAAAGTAAAAACAAAGAAAGAAAGAAAGAAACAAACGGAAAAGCACTCACCTCATGATTCTTCAATGATTCAATCAATATCGGCAAAATAATTTGCAGAAAGATGTACGAAAAGCTTTTTTGTCTCTCAATATGAACGCAACTGGTTAACTCTGTCGAAGTAAAACGGTATCTGAATCGGTCTGTTTACTGTCTGTCCTTTTACACGTGTTGAGATGATCGTTTCATAGTTACCGCGCTGTGCTGATTGGGTAGATGCATTGTCTTTGTCATTGTGACGCAATCGGCCGGTAATGCGCAGGCGTAACGCTCGCGTATGAAACAAAAGCAACGCGTTGTCCTCTGTGGTCCTTGTGTTGCGCTCAGTTTGAATCATCACTGGTGTGTTGCTATGGCATTGCTACTTTTGTTTCTAGTTAAAAAAAAAACAACCACAAACAATCAGTGGCGTAGCACGGTCATTTTTATTGGGGGGGGGGGGTTACACATTTCTTGAAAAGGGCACTTGCACATTCGTGGTGAATTCACGTGGTGAATAGACTACGTCTATTAACAAAGTTAAGGGAAAATCCAGTTTTCTGGGTTAAGAAATACAATCATTCAGATAAGGGCTAATGACGACCAATCTTCGAGGCAGTTCGAGCTAGCATTATTATTTATGGCCCCGTACCGTCCTGTCATAGATACATTTTGCTACCGTCATGACATACAACTGAAGATATATGTTGTTAAAACGGTTGGCCCTTGTGTACGACGTTGTGAAAAAAAGGGGAAAAAAAGATGGAGGGCTGATAATTCCAAAACTGCAACGCTTATAAATAAGCAAAAAAGGGGCTTTAAATTGAACGCATCTTTTAGCGGCCCTACTCAGTACTTAAAAAAATGATACACTGGCATATCCAAAGTAAAATGGGGCCAAAACAAAAAGTAAAATGCTAAAATTCCTAAATTTATTCTAAAATTGCCTTGGAATGCAGGGAAAAACATGTTAGATTTCAAAACTTTCTGGGGGCATGCCCTCGGCGGACTCCCTAGGCTAGCCCCCCCCCCCCCCGTTTTTCGACAGCTAGACCCGCATCCCCCCTCCCACCGCACCCCACGCCCCACTTTTTACCTGCATGCCCCGAGAGAGGGCGCAATTACGTCTAGACGTAAACAACAGCAGAACAGTAACACAGGTTCCCCAGTGCTGAGATTTCAACTTAACAAAACAAGATACTTAATAACATGTTGATACAATTGTTTTCAAGAAATTTGAATTAAACAACGACGTTTTGACGAGGTACAGGTAAGTTAGCTGTCTAAACTCGGGGACGTAGACTTATTGGGCTAACAATAATAATTTACTGACTTAGTTGCAGAGAACCTATTTCGTGAAAAAGTGGATAATTAAAAAAAAAAGTCTCCTCCATGGGCGTCGCGAGGGGGGGGGGGCAAGGGGGGAACTTCCCCCTCCCGGAAAAGCAAACAAAAAACAAAAAAAAGAAAGTAAAAAAGAAAAGAAAAGAAAAGAAAAAGAGCCGCGAAGTCATTTAATGACCCCCCCCCCTCTTGAAAAAATCCTGGCGACGCCCATGGTCTCCTCATAAATAAATTTTGTAAAATTAATATGAACACATACTAGTGCCCTTTCCTCAACAAAGTAAAACCATACAATGATGGAAAAGAATGTTGCATCCTGACACCACTTTTATCATCATATTCTCAGTGACGGTCAGTCATTCCAAAAGTGCTGAAATTGAAGACATGAAACTGGGACTGAGAAACATTTCCAATTTTGTCAGAAAATACTTTGAAAATGCACTGGACATGCTGGACTCTCCATAGGCCGGGGGCCATTGAGACAACTGGACTCTGGACAACTTGACCGTTGAGAGTGAGACAACTCGACCGTTGAGTCAACTCGACCGTTGAGACAACTCGACCGTTGAGACAACTCGACCGTTGAGACAACTCGACCGTTGAGACAACTCGACCGTTGAGACAACTCGACCGTTGAGACAACTCGACCGTTGAGACAACTCGACCTTTGAGACAATTCGACCGTATGTTCGTCAAATGGAACTTTAAGTCGTCCATTGAGACAAGTCGCCTGTTGAGACAAGTCGACTCGCATGTTCTTGGGCCTGGGCTAGTACCAGGGATTTTTGCTGTGTTCAGCTTTGATCATAGCTCCATGCCTGATGACCTACAGCCTGTACTTATGTTAGCGATGAGCATGGATGCGGACCCTGGATGCCTGCCTAGTCTGTACAGGGCGTGTGCATGCTGCGATGCCGCACTGGTTCTAGGCAGCCCTGGCCTGATGCGACAGCCACCGGAGCGCTCACCGTGCATATGACGTGTGCCCGCCTGCTTCGTCTATACAGGGCGCTGTGTGCATGCCGCGTCGCCGCACTGGTTCTGGGCAGCCCAGGTCCAGCCCAACGTGACAGCCACCGGAGCGCTCACTGTGCATGTGACGTGTGCCCGCACACGTGGTGGTCCTGCCACAGATTATGCAACTTTCCCGCGCCATGTGTATGTATATACTTTTCAACAAAGTCGAGTTGTCTCAACGGTCTAGCTGTCCTGAATCCAGTTGTCCTGAGTCGAGTTGTCTCAACGGTCGAGTTGTCTCAACGGTCGAGTTGTCTCAACGGTCGAGTTGTCTCAACGGTCGAGTTGTGTCAACGGTCGAGTTGTCCCAACGGTCGCGTTGTCTCAACGGTCGCGTTGTCTCAACGGTCGCGTTGTCTCAACGGTCGCGTTGTCTCAACGGTCGAGTTGTCTCAACGGTCGAGTTGTCTCAACGGTCGAGTTGTCTCAACGGTCGAGTTGTCTCAACGGTCGCGTTGTCTCAACGGTCGCGTTGTCTCAACGGTCGAGTTGTCTCAACGGTCGAGTTGTCTCAACGGTTGAGTTGTCTCAACGGTCGAGTTGTCTCAACGGTCGAGTTGTCTCAACGGTCGCGTTGTCTCAACGGTCGAGTTGCCTCAACGGTCGAGTTGTCTCAACGGTCGAGTTGTCTCAACGGTCGAGTTGTCTCAACGGTCGAGCTGTCTCAATGGTCGAGCTGTCCTGAGTCGAGTTGTCTCAACGGTCGAGTTGTCTGACATTCCTCCATGGACTTTGTACACAAAAGTCTGGATAATAGTTTCTACATTCTTTCCATATTGTCTGTAAAATTTTCTTTCAGATTTTAATAATTTTGTCATTTATATTATAAAGGCAAAATTAAGAAAAACATAAGTTGTTGCCGACGATTGAACCGAGGCTCTCGATCGTCCCCAACTGATTTGCATAAAACAATAGTGGCCGCATGAGGTCGCTGTTCGCGCTGTATTTTTACTTGCATGTGCATAGCGCGTGAGGATATATGCCGACGATTGACCGCGTACGGGACGAATAACGACGAGAGCATTAACCAAGGCTAATTGTAGAACCACAATGTGTTTTGAATGGAAATTCTCAACAGCGACTGACAGTTAATAACGAACGCGAAATGAAAGAAGCTTACCCTTCTCAGTCGAATGCACAAAGCAATCAAAGTGGAGGATTGTTAAAGTTTGTTTCCCTGACAACGCTGCTTTGGGCGTTGTGTAGTTAGAGTTGAGTACACTGTTAGGAATATTGCATTTTTCGACAGTTGTTCCCCATTAATTAACAGCTAAAAATGGCCATCGGTATTGGGGAACATAGGTATTGGGGAACATGGGGTAGACCCCGTTCGTAGCTCTGGTGCTACAACGTCATGGAACTTTCATGAGGTAATCCATGTGTACATATCTCAAGAGAATGCAATGATGGATGATCACACTTCTTTGTACACTTTACAGTCTCAATATCAAGGTCGCTCATAATATTTCTGTGCTGCAATGCCTTTTCCGCAGACATTGTACACAGATTCCTGGGACTTTTGTAATTTCTTCAATAAGTTAATGGACTCTGTGCATGACCAAAAAATGGCGCTTTGTGACCACTTTCAAAAGCCAACGTGGGAGGGAGACACCACAAAATAAGCACAATTTCTTAAAAAACTGTGTGTACTTTGTGCCTTTCATGCGCGCTTTTTTGCGTTTAAGGTTTTTAATTTGTTTGTTTATGTTTGTTGTTAATGCAGTGAATAATATTGCAGAATGCCTGGCAAACTGAAGGTACAGATCATTGCAGCAAGGGACCTTCCTGTCATGGACAGGGCCAGCGATCTTGCTGATGCATTTGTCGAGGTACGTAGTAACAGGATTATTATTCAAAGAAATTTACTGGAGCGGGGTTTGAAGCCATGACCTCTGGAGTACCGTTCCAGTGCTCTACCAACTGAGCTCTCCAGCCTATGTTGGCGGTCCCTAATTCGTCAATATCCTTGTTCAAGAGGCGCTAGTCAGAAGTCATGAACCCAAGTATGCCATTTACTATTTCCTAAATGTGCATCCTGACTTTAACTTTTAAGTGGCTGTTGGTAGAGCACCGGAACGGCAATCCAGAGGGTGCAGGTTCAAACCCAGTCTGAAAATTTGGCACTCTCAATACTGTGTACGAGAGTCCCAAAACTTAAGGTATTGAAAACATGCAATGCAAGAAAACAGACTGGCACCTGAAACAACCAGTCCGATACCGCTTCAGTACTGCATCAATCAACTGTGCCAAAAGAAACGTGTCAAGTTAGGAACTAGTCTCAATTACTACACATTTCTCCATAGTCAGCCACCAGACTAATGACACTGAATGAAGAAGTCGGTCTTTTCAAACAGTTGGACCATGGTTGGACGTGTACCAGTCTAGTCTTTAGCCTCATTTTGAAATCACCTGACTTCTCTCTCGTGCAAAATATTGAAGAAAAGTCTACTTAAAAAATTGAATTGAGTCTGAAAACTTGGTTGGTGAAATACTGAGGATCTTTTCTTTGGCCAATGACAATTTTTGAAAAATTCAAGTTCCCAATCTGGTTCAAACCCCGCTCCAGTCAATTTCTTTGTTCAGCTTTTGAAAAATTATTATAATTCACCTCGTCAGTTTCACTCTGTGGTTCATATAAATAAAATATTATTTAACAACGAAGCAAAATAGAAACTTACTGACCTGTAAAAGGCTGTTGGCTATTGGCCTTGATTGGTGAATTTGTGCTATTACTTAGTTGCGGAAAAACCCATTTGCGCGGTCGGTCAATCCTGTAGCGAATATCAGACGTTACTCCCCCTTTTTAAAAAAAACAAAATCTCCAGAAAGATAAAGTGATTGACCGTAGGTTTGTCGCTGGGTGATTGACTGATGACTGGTAGCACGATCGCCCGGGCGATGTTGCAGATCCACCGATTGCGCCCAGTTTAATTGTCTCAAGTCACGTTACGATCAAGATGTCTGACATAAACCGGAGCATTTTGAAGAAATAAAGTTCTTAAAATTACAAGACGAAGTTTAAAGAGGCATTTTTCTAAGTTTTACCAACTGGTAGGGCCAAAGATCTATTCTTTGGGAACATTTCACTGGGATAGATACATGTAGTAAATTCTTATCAGATTGTTCTATTCCATAAGCTGCATGTACAGTGTAGATTACATTAAACTTATTCCTTTTCTTCGCAGGTCAAACTTGGACAAGTAACTCACAAGACAGAAACCTGTCGTAAGTCCCTCAACCCCCAGTGGCAGTCAGAGTGGTTCAAGTTTGAGGTGAGGATCGAGAATATTGGATTTGAATTCCTACAAATACACAGCGTAAAAAAAATCTAGATCAAGGTGGCTTCCGTTACTGAGTATTGGTTGTCTCAAATTGTCTTTGTGGTTTTCTTTGTGATTTATGGCCTGTTCATAGAGGCCTCAAAACTGGATGCTATTGTTAATTTTTGACAACAGAGATAATGTTCACATTATGAATTTTGCAAAAGATGTGTACATTTCAACCTAAGTGAATTTCACCAAAACATGTTTCTCTGTGTCAAATTTTCTTGCAACTGAGATGAGTATTTATTGCTTATAGGTAGAGTACTTATGTTTTGCTCCAACTACGATATAGCAGTGGCCTCAAATGTAGTTGGGACAGTCCTAACTACGGTTGAGATGATCCTGAAAATAGCCTCAAGTTTAGTTGTGACAGTGTTTTTGATGTCTTGGAATCTGAAAATTCCATTACCCAAGAACAGTTGCGTTCACATTGACCCCATAGTTTACTCCACACACAAGTATTGTAGCACATCTATTTAAGGCCCCCAAAAAAGTCTCCGGTTTCTGGTATGGAGCTTGCCCCAAAAGTGGTGCGGCGGACACGTTTTTATTTTTCTGCCGCCCCACTTTTTTTTTTTTCAAATGTCGGCTGATATTGCAGATGATGCTTCGATCCCCTTAAAACTCTCGAAAATATCCTTCAGAGTGGAGCTTGAGGTGACCTCAGTAAGGCCATAAGGCTTGAGAATTCTGCACCAACTTACCATCTCGACCGACACGAACATTCTTCAGGAATTTTGGATAGTCAAGACAAAAATCAGAGAAAACGGTAACGTCAGACCATACAGCGACATTAACATCGTGCTGGTCATTAGTCTGCTCCCTTACATATTGCGCTAATTAAAAAGCGTTTACAGGTTCCAGATACAAGACCATCGCTCTCTCAGTCTGGCTTCCAGACACACAATTACATAATTACAACACTGCCTGCAAATGGTGCCCGACTAAATTTAGTGAAAAATATTTGGGAGCCCAGAGAGGCCGCATAAAGCTTATACTCGATCGTAACCCCATCTAAAAACATGTTAAAATTGTGCAGCAGCAGGATTCCAGTCAAACCAGTGAGTTTGGCAGATTAGAGACATCATCTTATATTGAAAAAAAAAAGTTGTTAATTTTGCTGACGGCTGCGGCGCGCACGTGCAGACCAGAAACCGGAGACTTTTTTTTGTGGCCTAATAGAAGTTTTATTGAAATATCAAACTTTATAATAAATAAATTGATGTTTTGTTTTAAGGTTGATGATGAGGAATTGCAGGACGAACCACTGCAGCTAAGGTAACCTCTTTCATTTAACTTCATAGTATATCATTTTCAGACTGATATAGCAGCAGTCTCATCTGGCATACCTAAAAGTGGGATACCCCCCCCCCCCCAAATGAACATTTTAGCTTCCCTGAACCTTACCTGTGTCTAAAGCCACTGTTACAAATCCCCCACCCTAAGAAATCCAATGATGCATTTTATATTTTGTCTACTTTGACCCTAACCGCCCTGAATCCTTCAAAATCCTCTTTGCCAAAGTGGAGGAATTTGGAGGATTGAGGTTACATGGTAAAAGTGCGTAACTGATTTCATAGGATGCACTTTGTCAAGGTCTTGGGTTGGACCTTGTGTTGTTTTTGCTCAGTCATGCATAAATATAGGCCTGGATTATGCTTGAAATCCTCCGTACTGCTCCAGGATGTCACTGCCTCTGCCTCAGCCTATTGACAGTCACTGCTGCAGGACTTTGCAGGATTCAGGCAGTGGTCACCCCTCCACGGACCATATTCATGAAATAATGGAGGAATTTGCAGGATTCAGGCTATATGCAATTTTTCCATGAGGCCAATTGGAGGATTTAGCAGGATTGAGGCTACATCCTAGCAAAATGGCCTAGGGAGTTAGGGTTCGGGAAGCTTAAATCATGTTTTTATAAAGCATTGAATTGACATTAAAACAATATTAATTATTAGTAATTGTCTTGCAGAATAATGGACTACGACACATACAGTGCTCATGATGCCATAGGCAAGGTAAACCCTATTAAGGCAATAACAGTGTGAGGAGCCGGTCTTCACTGCGTGATAATGACCGGGTGTGGGGGTGACCGCTGTTAATGGACCGAGACGAATTAACAGCGGTCACCCCCACACCCGGTCATTATCACGCAGTGAAGACCGGCTCCTCACACTGTTATTCCCTTATTATTATGGGGGGTCCTCTCGCGTGTGACAGTCCTTCATAGTCCAGGCAATATAAGGTTTGACCTCAAACAAATTGCAACAGAATTTTTTTCACCGCAGTGCATTTCTATAAGGTCCCTAAAATGACATACTAAAAGTCCAAAAAAATCCAAGTGGTGGAAATATGCCTAAGTTGCATAAATCCAAAATGGCCGCATATTTTAGGACTTTTACATTGATTTGGTCATATTTCTCATACTAGATAGCTTCTTGAGGAACTTCAAACAACAATTTTAGTCCTTTTACATTGATTTTATCATTATTCTAGTCCTAGGTAAATTTCAAGATCCCTATGTTTCCCAAATTTGCCAAATGCGGTGTAATAATTTGCATAAATGCCATATATTAATTTGCATAAATTAAAGTTAAAATTATGGCTGTCATGTGTTGACATCACAACTGAATTTTTCCTAATAACTTCTTGTTCATTTATGTTTACATAAATATCACACCACAGAGGTCTCTATATGGTCCCGAAAAAAACTTAAAAAAAGAAAAATCCAAGTGGTGGAAATATGCTTAATTTGCATTAATTAAAAATAGCCACTAATTATATGATTTTCATATTGATTTGGCCATAACTCTTGTCCTACATTGCTTTTTGGGGTCTTTTATACAACAATTTGTCCTTTTACATTGATTTCATCATTATTCTAGTCCTGGGTACCTTTCGAGATCTCTCTGTTTCCAAATTTGCTAAATGCCGTATAATAATTTGCATAAATGCCGTATATTAATTTGCATAAATTAAAGTTAAAATTATGGCTGCCATGTGTGTGGACACGTCACAATTGAATTTTCTCTAACAACTTCTAGTTCAGTTATGTATCACACCACAGAGCATCTCTATGTCTGTATGTGGTCCCGAAAAAAAAAGTTAAAAAAAAATCCAAGTGCTGGAAAATATGTCTAATTTGCATAAATTCAAAATGTCCACTAATTATATGATTTTCATACTGGTTTGGCCATAATTCTCGTCCTACATTACTTTTTGGGGCACTTTAAACAAAGTGTTGTCCTTTTACATTGATTTCCTCATTATTCTAGTCCTGGGTACCTTCCAAGATCCCTATGTTTCCCAAATTTGCCAAATGCTGTATAATAATTAGCATAAATGCCTTATACTAATTTGCATAAATTCAAAAAAAGTAAAGTTGAAGTTACAGCACAATTAGGATCTGTGTTGGGACTTATGCCATGAAAAATGGGTCGCGGGGATAACTATTCATCAGGTTTTGCACTTTTATTGAGCCTGATTTAAGAGGCGAAAGATACATATTGAGTAATCTTCATCCAAGAACAGAATGACAAAGTTAAATACTAATTCTAAACAATTAACAAGGAACAAGTAGCAAGTCAATTAAATAAAAACACAATTAAAGTTAAAGTCGCACTTATTTAAGTGGTTCTCGCTAAATCATTAACATCAGTTTTGATTATGCAACTAAAAAATACAAAATACGGAATAGTAAATGAAATGAAACTGTAGCTTAACTTCTTATATATGATTACTGTGAAGGGAGAAAACAATTGTACTTTCCCTGATAATCCAAGTTCAGTTATGAATACAGAAATATCACAAAGATCCATATTGACGACCTTTCATCCATATTGGCTTGCATGCTCTGTTAGTCTGGTTGTTATCATCTACACGTACATCTTTGTATCTTAGAATGAACACTTATGTGGCAGTCTGTAATCTTCAGCAGCATTAGGATCAATGTCTGGTTGTAGGCGAGTTGGCACAACTAGTGCCACGGCATTCAGTGCAAGCAGTTGTACAAGACAGGCCATACTTTCGGCACGTGCAGTTTCTATTCGCACAAGTCTTTCTTACACCCACATCGGATGACCTCAAGTAGTGATGGTGGTGCAGGCGGTTTGTCCATTTGTATGGGAAGATTTGCCATCAATGACCTGCCAACCCCCATCTGCTGGAGGCAATTTGTTTACTTGTAATCATATATGATAATAATAGAAGTTAAGCTACAGTTTCATTTCATTTACTATTCCGTAGTTTGTATTTTTGAGTTAAGTGATTTAGCGAGAACCACTTGAATAATGAAGATAACTCAATTCGTATCTTTCGCCTCTTCTCCAATATACAGATCAGACTCAATAAAAGTTCGAAACCTGTGGAATAGTTTCCCCTGCGACCCATTTGTCATGGCCTAAGTCCCAACATGGGTCAGAATCAGTGTGCCATAATTGTAACTTAACTTTACTTTATTTGAAATTATGCAAATTATTTTACGGCATTTGGCAAATTTGGGAAACATTGGGATCTCGAAAGGTACCCAGGACTAGCATAATGATGAAATCATGTAAAAAAAACAAATTGTTGCTTGAAGGGAATATACAACATTTGCTGTTGCTGCAGTTTTAAGAAATATATGGATTTGGAGGATTAGTATGTTATAGCAATTTTGTTGAACTGACTTGTTTCACGTTTTGGGCTGGTAGATGCTGGAAAAACCAAGAAAATCAATCATATTCTTGTAGTCTGGTTCCCTGACCCCATTGGCAGATCCAGCGGGGGGCGCAGGGGGCGCACGCCCCCCCCCCCCCCCCCGGCAAATATTTTAAAATGTATACTATCGGTGGAAAACGGACGGTGATCGATCCGACGGGCCACGCGTTTTGAGTTTGAGGAAGAAAAATCGTTCAAAAGGCGTGGCAATTTTCACGCACCTCCTAATATAGCTCTATGGACTGCACGCGCACAACTGCTGCGTACAATGCGTATGAAGGTCAAACCGTTTTCACGCTCCGGGCTTGGTGACTAAATAAAATCAAACAATGGCCAATTCAGATTCTATTAAAATATTTTTCGGATACGTTTCATGCCAGTTTGTCACACTCCCCAAATATGGATCCGCTGTAATGAAATATTCAAATTCATGTCAGTTATATGACTGATGAGCGCGGAACAATTACAAATTATGTGCATGTTCTCAACTTTAGGCTTTGAATACAGAAGAACTTCATAAGAGCAAGAGTATATATATAGGCCTATATGTACTTGAAACAAATGAAACAAAATATCCCCTCATAATTTTAAAAACTTATGCTAAAAAAAATCTGGGGAAAGTGGCCAGGAAACTCCTCAGATTGCACCACAGAGCATCTACGATCTAAAATTTCCCGGGGCCCTTAAGCTGGCCCCGGACCCCACGCCGTAAGGGCTTCGCGATCCGCGCTCGCAGGTCCTCGACAATTCTAGCCCCCCCCCCCCCAGCAAATGGCAGTCTGGATCCGCCCCTGCCCTGACCCCACTTACGATGAATCAGAGCAATGTATAGACGTTGGGGAATTGTAAGGTCGGAGAATCAGTCTAGCAGGTTTGAACTCCTTCACAGGTGTGTGATCAATTGCAAAGAAAATGCGGAATAACTAAATTTGAAAAATTAAGAGAAGTTTTTGAAAAAAGCCAGTTTTCTCCAACACTGGTAAGCCGACCAGCGTTGGAAAAATACAATTTTTCTTGACAATGTCAGCACACCAGGAGCTACGATTTTACAGGATGCTTTTAATTGACTGTCATTCCCTAACAATCCAGTAAGTTATTTCGTGATAATGTGATCATTTCGTTTTTTGATGTTTGCAAATGTTGTATATTCCCTTTACAGCACCCCCAAAAGCAATGTAGGACGAGAATTATGGCAAAATCAATATGAAAATCATGTTTTTAGGTGGTCATTTTGAATTTATGCAAATTAGGTATATTTCCACCACTTGGATTTTTGGGGACTATTTTAGGGGCCTTACAGAAATGCACCGTGATATTTATGTATAAATAACTGAACTTGGGTTATCAGGGAAAATTGAATTGTGACATGTCCACACATATGGCAGCCATAATTTTAACTTTAATTTATGCAAATTAATATATGGCATTTATGCAAATTAATATACGGCATATGGAAAATTTGGGAAACATGGGGATCTTGAAAGTTACCTAGGACTAGAATAATGATGAAATCAATGTAAACGGACTAAAATTGTCGTTTTAAGTACCTCAAAAAGCTATCGAGTATGAGAAATATGACCAAATCAATGTGAAAGTCCTAAAATTTTCGGCCATTTTGGATTTATGCAAATTAGGCATATTTCCACCACTTGGATTTTTTTGGACTTTTAGTATGTCATTTTAGGGACCTTATAGAAATGCACTGTGGTAGAAAAAAATCCTGTTGCAATTTGTTTGAGGTTCACTCAAAAAATGAAGTATTTTGCCTGGACTATCAGTGTAATAAGCTAATGAGTTTGGTAGCTATGGCAACATTATATTGTAGCCATGGCAACGGACTGAAACATTGTACACGAGTGTGTGGTTCATCGCCCATATTGCTTTGCCGCAGCGCGGAGTTGTCATTTCGAGCCAGCCAGTGATTCTTGCCGTTTCACAGCCAAGTCCGATCTCAGAAAATTGACACTTTGTAAACTTGAGTGACTGAAAAGCGAACGTTTCGAATTGTCCGCTCATCATGGCGTTTATGTCCGAATTCTTTGCCATTGTGGTTGCCATTTTATCGATGAGGGCCCTCTCTGAGTCAAATCTCTGCCCGTCTCGGTCCCCTGTCAAATGCTCTTGCCCGCAAGAGTGGCAATTGTGGGGTAACGAGTGTTATCGCCTCACTCCTTCATACTATAATTGGGATGACGCCAAGAAAGTTTGCCAAGGCATGGGAGGCAAGATGGCCACTCCTCGCTCGCTCGAGGAACTGAACTTCATGGTGGAACTGGCACGAAAGGAGGACGGTGAATACTACGCCTGGATTGCTTGCAATGACAAAGAGGTTGAAGGAACTTGGGAGTGTGACGGTCAGGAAGGAGGCGAGCCCTTCTTGGTATGGGCTGATGGGCAACCAAATAATTGGAAAGGCAATCAAGATTGTGCTAAGTTAGTCGTACGTTATATAGACACGATGGATGATGAACAATGTGAGAGATGGTGGAAGGCTTTTTGTGTTCGTCTCTCAACCCAACCCCGTCAATACTGCCTCTCTACCGACACCCACAGCCGCATTCTCAACTCAACGTGCCTCCTCGACCACAACATCCGGGAGTTTATCACCGAGGGCGTGGTCGCCTGTGGCTCAGCCTGCGCCCAGGAGCCCGGATGCCGCTCTTTCAACATCAAGAAAACCGAAGACGGGAAGAAGATATGCCAGCTGAACAACAGCACAAGCTCCGAAGATAAGGATAAGTTTCAGAAGACTGATTATTTCTGTGTGTACTCAGAGGTGTGCCTTGGCTAGTCATGACAATAATGGAACAATTTCAAAGATGCACTCTGCGAACTTGTGAATTCGGATTTCGTTCCGACGATAAAACATTCGCGAGACACTTGTTCTTATCTTTACATCACGTAGCAACTATTTCATTTTTTTTTGTTCGTTCTGAAACGAAAACACAGCTTCTGATGTACTTTGAAGTAAAGAATATGCATGTAAATACTTTGCTCTTTTTGCGAACATGAAAAATGATTGGATTGAAAGCATTTTGAGCTGATGAAAATCGTTCGATTTCTTTCCATAGATTGCATAACAGATTTAAAGCGCTACTGCATTGTACATTTGCAAGTAGTTCTTGTTTTTGCAATGTTTGCATTTGTCAAAACCGACAACAAATATTGTAGATCAATTTTATCGTTTATTTCATATTTCTTAAATTATTATTACCATCACCATTTTCTTTATTTACACTAAAAAAAGGAATTTTTAAATCACTCATGCACGTGTAGCATAAAAAGCAACATCCTTTTCAGCAATGGTTTTCAAGACTGATTTTTATCGATTTTGAAGCCAGCTACAATTTCTTAAGTTGTTCGACAGTCATGTACAATTCAAATTTTTTGAAAATTTCAAATCGTTGGCAAATGGCATGATAAGGCCTAAAAAAAAAATATTCGGTCTCTGGTCAGACCAAAGTTCCGGAATTGACGCGGCCACGCGGCTTTTGGGGGGGGGGGGGTTTGGCTTTTTTTTTTTCTTCTTCAAGCTTGGATTGTACAGACAAGGTGGGTACTATTTTGCTTTTTTGGTGTCCTCATGTACATTGGTGTCCTCCATAATTTGCCGTGGTGCTTTTCGATCATTTGCCTTGGTGCAATTTCCCATTCCTTGGTGCTCTTTGGTAAAAAAAAACTGAGGAGGTGCGGAAATAGAGGGCGCTGTTGGAGCTACCGCGGAACATTTTGGGGAAAAAAAAGATCGACGCGCATGATTAAAATCGACGCGCGCGCTGACCAGAGACCGACTTATTTTTTTTTTGGCCTAACATGAACATTATATTTTACATACAGTGGTGAATCTGCACCCTGTTGCTTTGTAAGAACCTTGTTTTGTAAGAATAAATGTCATTATTGGTGTTGTAGGTAAAGGACATCATAGCTGTCATAACTTGTTATTGTTTGTGATGAACTTATTGGAACTTTTTAGTAAGCTTTAAAAATGGACGTGGTCAGGTGACCTGTCTGGAGAATGCGATACCCGAGTACAGAGCATAATGTTCGGGTTTTTGCCAAAGTTTGTAGCAGGATTTCAACTCTTGTGGGGGTGACCGCTGTTAATGGACCGAGACGAAGTCGAGGTCCATTAACAGCGGTCACCCCCACACCCGGTCATTATCACGCAGTGAAGACCGGATCTTCACACTGTTATTCCCATTAATAAATACCTTTTTAACGAAATAAACAGTTAAAATGCTCCAATTTTTTTACTTTCTTTCGGCGATATTTCCAAACTTTTTTGTGTTCATGTTCGTGGGCCATATTTTAGCTTAACAGCTATAGTATAACGACGTAAACTCAACAGAAACTGCTGCCGTAGTGAAACAAATTACAACAATGTTTTCATATCTTTACCTGATGGAGGAAGCTGAAATCTCGTTTACACATTCCTTGTGTCCGGAATTACAAAGATGCTTGGTTTAGGAAAGGTAAATATGTCGGTGGGTGAAGTGTTCAAAGAAAATAAATCGTAGATCTACGCTTTCGTCGTAAACATTCTCAATATATACTGCACTGCTGTACGATGTCGTTTCAAAACTTCCTTACGCGCGCACGCACGCATCCCTAGCAACTGTGTTGCGTACGCGCGCGTCAGTCTCACGCGATGGGGGTTGAGCGCATGTGCAGTGCTCTATTGTTACAAGCTACCGCAGGACTGTTACTACATTTTGACCAATCATTGGCTTGCATGGGGCTGAACGGGGCTTGATCAATGCTGGTTCAGGGGCCATTTATTCGCTTGATCTTTGAAGCCGGTCCATTATCACCGTTAATGCCCGGCCACATGATCGAGTCTCGACCAATCAGAAACCATCAACTCTCCAAGGTATTTATTAATGTCATTTTAAACCATATCTATTTTATACTTTAAACTGCCGGAGTTGACGAAATCATTGTGAATATTTTAGAAAACATATGTGATCGATCAAGCTAGATGAGTCGTTTGTCGACCCTGGTCAAATTTTTTTAATACAGATTTGAAAAGAGCACAATCTCAGCATTACTGATGTGAAAACCGCATGTTGATACCGGAACACCAAGAGATGCGATGAAGTGATGTGATGAAGTGGCCCTATTTTGGCCTGAATCTCCTAATAAACATTTTGACAAATGACTCATTTAATAGCTTGATCGCATCACATATTAAAAATTAGGTGCACCTGGTTTCTAGGGTTAACAACAGAATATTCTAATCTGCCCCTCCCCAGGTTTACATCGATCTGAACCCCCTACTTTTGAAAGATGGAGCATCCGAGATAGCAGGCTGGCTGCCTATTTATGACACCATGCACGGTATGAGAGGGGAGATCAGTGTGGTGGTCAAAGTGGATCTGCTAGAAAATGTCAGCAAGTTCAAGGAATCGTCATGTGGGGTTCAGTTCTTCAGTTGTAAGTCTTGAAATAACATCTTCCCCCTTCCTCTTAAAACAAGCTGGTTAATTTGTGGCCAGATTATCTTTGTCGGTCGCATAATTTCAAAATTAGGGCCAAATGCCAGCAGGCTTTTAAAACAATTGCAAAACTACTGGACCAGTCCGATATGTTTTCCAGTGTAATGGAGCACATACCAATCATTGGTACATCATGTATAGGGTTGGTCAGCAACTGAATCAAGGATGATCTGGCCACAAATAAAACAGTTTGTCCCCTAAAAATACAGTGTGTATCAACAAAATGCAAAGAAAATATAACGGAATGCCAGACGCAGAATGTGTAACCAACATAGATAATATAGATATGGTATGAAAGATACGCCTTTCCACTTTAAAATGAGACATCAAACATCTGAATCTGATGATTTTTGAAACAGTTATGAGTAATATTGAGCATGGGACCAAGTTTTCAATTTTTAGGCATTGGTGTTAAGGTAGCCTAATTGCCTCTGTGTGGATAATTGCCGTGCCTACAAAAATGTGTTTAGTGAGTAAACACAATTCTAAACACTTGCTTGCTATCACCTCATGCTAAAAATGTTTAACATGTAAACAAGTGTACAAACTGATAGCAAGAAAGTGTGTAGAATTGTGTTAACTCGCTAAACACATTTTTGTAGGCGAGGCAATTAGCCACACAGAGGCTATTAGGCTACCTTTGTCCCAATGCCTAAAATTGAAAACTTGGTCCCACGGTCAATTTGACCTCTCTTGGAAAATAACTCTGTCAAAAATAATCAGATTTGGACGTTTGATGTCTCATATATTAAAGTGGAAGGCGTATTTTTCAAACCATACCTATATACACACTGTATAGTCGCTGACAAGGTCCCTGATTTGTTCGTTGGGTCGCCATCTTGAAATCATGTGAACAGATTATGTGCTTTCATTGGCTAGTTAATCTTTTTAGTTCAGCACGTAGCTCAGGTTGCCTGCACACGGTGAGTTTTTTGCGTTGCGAGGCAAAAGAAATCAGAAAGGAGAGATATTTGCCTCAAGGCCTTGTGAGGCAGAAAACTCAGCAAAAATTGACGATAGGCCCTATATTTTCTTAGCTAGGTGCTGAGCAAACGGCCTCGAATGACTTTTTGCTCAGGATTGAATATATCATATCATTTCAGTCATTAAAAACTGTTGCAACATTGAATTACAACAAAGTAATGGTATAGCTGGAGTTACCCAGCCCTGAGTTTTATCATTGGGTTGTCATCTAGGGCTGGAGCGAGTTTTTCTTGTAACTTGTAGTATAGGCAAAAATTTTTGGAAAATGTTCAATTTTGTCCCCGTTACACACTAATTGCAACTGCAACTCACCCCAAACTTGCCTGGAATAACCATTACACAGGTCCTTGAAGTAAAAAACGATCCACGATGAAGATTCAGCCTACAATTGCAGTGAAAACAGGAGGAATAACCGCTAACCTGACAACCTTGCTGGCATGGCCAGGACCGCAATTGGTTTGTGCACAAAAAAAAATTGTGTACAATGAATGGCGGTCGATTACCATGCACGTACAGCTCACTGGTACTCGGCGTTTTTGCGGTCGGTGCATGACGTGACGCGGAAGCGTAATACCCGATGACTGTTTTATGCATTGATAAGAGGTTCACTCGCATCACAGTGCGGTACTGGAACGGCAACCGTCGAGTAACACTGCACTATGAATGCACGATAGCCGGCCAACTCGACGGTTGCCGTTCCAGTACCGCACTGTGATGCGAGTGAACCTCTTATTAATGCATGAAACAGTCATCGGGTATTACGCTTCCGCGTCACGTCATGCACCGACCGCAAAAACGCCGAGTACCAGCGAGCTGTACGTGCATGGTAATCGACCGCCATTCATTGTACACAATTTTTTTTTGTGCACAAACCAATTGCGGTCCTGGCCATGCCAGCAAGGTTGTCAGGTTAGCAGTTATTCCTCCTGTTTTCACTGCAATTGTAGGCTGAATCTTCATCGTGGATCGTTTTTTACTTCAAGGACCTGTGTAATGGTTATTCCAGGCAAGTTTGGGGTGAGTTGCAGTTGCAATTAGTGTGTAACGGGGACAAAATTGAACATTTTCCAAAATGTTTTGCCTATACTACAAGTTACAAGAAAAACTAGCTCCAGCCCTAATAGACAACCCAATGATAAAACTCAGGGCTGGGTAACTCCAGCTAGTAATGGTAAGTGTTATTTTGTCAGTAAACAGTAGTGTAAATTTTTCCCAAAATAAACTTCAAGTTGTGCAGTCACTGGTAGTCCATTATGTTTTTATATTATATTTGTAATTTGTTTTTGTCTTTCAGCTAGTGGCATTCCTACTTGTTACACTGTGAGTGCTGTTCATGGTTTTGTAGAGGAGCTAGTCGTCAATGATGACCCTGAGTATCAGGTAGGAGACAAATAGATACACAGCCACTTAAATTTTGTATTAAACATCTGGGATAGTTGAACCATTCCAATAGTGATCCTTGCATGCGCACGGGGCCCCCTTCAATGGAGAAACCATTGTGCATGCTATTGTACAAAGCAACCGCCTGTGACGGATTGAACAATAGCTAGCACAATGCTTTCACCATTGAAGGGGGCTCCGTGGTAGAGTTGATAGCGCGCCCGGATTGGTCTGTTGATTGATAGCGTGTCAAGTGGGTGGTTTGCCATGAGAAGTGTTTAAAATCGGTCATGCGACCCGCGCTCCACGCATCCTGCCACGCTTGCTGTCGACAACCCAGCAGCGGTGTAGCCAGGGTTCTCATCCTTGGGGGGGGGGGGGAGTGGGGGGCTGGATGACACAGTGGGACGGGTGCCCAAGTTCATCCACGCTCAAAAGGTAGACAGGTTTTTTTCACTGGACACCCGACCTCCGTAAAATAAAAAAGTGGGTGGGGGGACACTATCTTCACATGGGAGCGCTGTTCAAAACCAACATGATCAATGTCAAGAGCATTTGACAGGGGACCGAGACAGGCAGAAATTTGACTCAGAGAGGGCCCTCATTGATAAAATGGCAACCTCAATGGCAAAGAATTCGGACATAAACGCCATGATGAGCGGACAATTCGAAACGTTCGCTTTTCAGTCACTCAAGTTTACAAAGTGTCACTGTGAAATGGCGAGAATCACTGGCTGGCTCGAAATGACAACTCCGAGCGGCGGAAAAGCAATAAGGGCGATGAGCCACACACTCGTGTACAGTGTTTCAGTCCGTTGCCATGGCTACAATATAATGTTGCCATAGTTACCAAACTCATTAGCTTAATACACTGAAGGACTGTCACATGCGAGAGGACCCCCCCCCATTATAATGTATTTTCAAACCATATCTATTTTATACTTTAAACTGCCGGAGTTGACAAAATCATTGTGAATATTTAAGAAAACATAAATGACAGTCCTATTTTCCAAATAGGACTGTCATTTTCTACGATGGGGCGTTTAATATATTTATTTATGATTATTTGGCAATTGGCCGGATAGCCCACGCAAGTTTTTCGACTTTTTTCCCATTGGGGTTCCTTGGTAGAAGATGTGGAAAGAAATTACAGTTATCGTGGGGGGGGGGGGGGAACCCCAAAATGATATTCTAGAAAAAAACCACAGAATCAGGTAGGGACTGAAAACCCAATCCACATATTGGCCCAGGCAGGAATCGAACCCGGGTCACAGTGGTGGAAGGCGAGGAAAGAACCGCTGAGCCAACCTGATATCCCTGTATAAAAATAAACAATTTAACAATAGGTTTTTGCGCTTCACCGATGTATAAACACTGTATACTCAGTGTGTTACCTCCCGAATGACAGTTGGAAAATATCACTCGGGTGAGACTCGAACCCACGACCTCCTGCTTTCTAGTGCAGATGTCTTGCCAATCGACCACCAAGCTAACAAGATTGGTTTGCTGGTTCGAATCTGATGTACATTAGCAGCGGGTACCGCATTTAACTATTCATAAGATGGAATTTGCGTCGGTGTGATGTAAACTTAATATTAGGGTTTTTTTTCCTTCACCGGTGTATATTGGATACTCGGTGTGTAACCTCCTGATCTGATACACCGTGCCCTCTGGAGACATGCACACAATAGGGAACAAAAGATTGTATACGTCTCCACAGGGCAATTTCTATAGATGAATACGTCTCCACAAGGTTTTCACGAAATATATATATGGATTTTACTCAAAAACTAGGAATTTCCAAGATATGTTGATCTGTCACAAATGGTAGATTTTTAGAAAAGGAAATTGCTTCTGGTTAAAATAAGAGCATTTTAAAACTGTACTTTCAAACTCGAAAACTTTAGTACACAAGAACAAAGAAATGTCTCCACAAGGATACAAATTTCAGTATGTATGAGCAAAAGTGTTTATATGTCGGTGAAGGGCAAAAACCTTATGTTAAATTTACATCACACCGACGCAACTTCCATCTTATAAAAAATAAGCATATAGAAATTCAAAATAACCTTCCCGGTTCAAATCCATAAAACGTCGAAAAGTTGAGACAACTTTTTAACCAATTTTTTCTACCAACGTTCTTTATTTGGTCGTAGTGGATTGACATGATCCGAACACCGAGGGCTTCTAATGAGGCGAGACAGCAGTTATTCACCAAGCTTTCCGGCGAGCTACAGAGGAAGATTGGCTTGAAGGTGCTTGAGAGAGAAGGCAATGCAGTCCTAGGGTAAAGGCAAAAATTTTGACTCTCACTTTTGTGTCCTTACTGTGTCCGAAAATTTGTGACTTTCAAACTGTGTCCGTAAACTTAAGATACAAAACAGTCCTACACCCGATTTCAAGAAGCGCTGCGACGCGTCGCAACTCGAGTTGCGACATTTAACACTTCGTTACTCACAACACATTGTATGATCCATTTCACGAAACTTGTGACGTGTTGAATGCATCTTAAGTTCCTTGACAACGGCTTAAAACATGTTGCAAGTTACGATGTGTCTTGTGGTCATCGCAAAATAAGAAGCGTCCTTTCGTAGCCAGTTTTATGCCATAAAAAATACATAAACAAGATTATAATACCGAGGCAATGTGTGTAAAGTTGTAAATAGAAAATTCATTGAATAATTATGAATTAGCCCGGAATATTGCAGTTGAAATTTCAAAGTAGCTATACAGTCCACTGAGAGCTTGTTTTCCTTTAATTTGCATCACACGGCCGTAATTTTGTTTTACGTTTTAACAAACTTCGAGCGGAGAACTGACGACTCAACTTACTGTACGCTGATTAAATACATATAACTGTCACCTAGTTGTGCTATAAATACACCCACGACGCGTCGCTCTTATGACGTGTTTTGTGAAGTGGATCGCAGGATGCGTCACAGCCGCGATGCATTGTAAGTTTATACAATAAGTTTCATGAAATCGGGTGCTGGCTCATTACACTACCAGTCCAACATTAGTTTACTCCTACATGACTAAAGTAAATAAAAAAAAAAATAATTGGTATCCAGTCTCTATTTCTGTGCATTTCATGCACGTTCACACCACCAGACTAAAGGCTCCAAAGTTTAAGCATTTGGACATCTACCAGTCTGGTCTTAGGCTTTGAATTCAGATTATGTGGCTTCACTCTCCGGAGCAAAAGATTGGAGAAAAGTACAAATTTAGGGTGGTTGTTTTCAATTATAAGTTTTGAGAATCAAGAAGTATTGATATAGTTATCAAGTAAAAAAAAATTTCTTGTCCAGGCTTTTTGAAGGAAAAAAACGGGAGGAGGCAGCTGCCTTTTTTAAAGATGGCAGATTTTCCAAGATGGATTCTGCCAATTTGTCGACTCTTTCGCTGATACTTTTGTTTCCAAAGGAGCCATTGAAACAAAAGGAGGCGGCCAAAAAAAAAAGGCTGGGATGAAAAAGTTTATTTATTTGGCCTTACAGGGTTGTGTTGTCTTATTGTAACATTCGGTGGATTTTTTCTGACCGCAGTTACTGGCAGTGTTTTGATCTGGAGGGTGAATCTGGCATCGTGGTCCGAGGTATCGGCACGGCAGCGCTGATACACCGAACCAACCCACTGACGTCTCCTCTCTCTACCAGCCCACCACAGGATCAACTCAACCCAAAGGAGTAAGCGTAGAAACCTTTACGCAGGTTACAGCCTGGAAAACCAGATTCACACCAATCCAAATGATTGAATTCAGTAAACGAAGAAATTGAGGTTTGAAAAAGTTAGGAGCAACTACATCATACGATAAGTTGTTGCTGTCAATTCCAGAGTCAAGTCAGTGGACAATTTATAATGTATGCAGATGTCTTTCTGATACCAAGATATATTTGTCACGGTTCCCTAGTCATGGAAAAATGCAATTCATTTATGTTAAACCACCATAGTTGTAAATCATTGCGTCAGTGCAACAAGGTCGTATCTCCTAAAATGGCATAAACGCAAAACGCGAGATTCAGTATGTCAAAAGGTCGTATCTCGCTTAAAATTATCCGGATGTACATGCAAAGTCAATGGACGTCGAGATACGACGTTGTTGCACGGAGCGTATACGTGCGAGATACGACTTTGTTGCAGAATGGAGTTACGACCTTGTTGCACTGACGCACGGCAGCGCTGATACACCGAACCAACCCACTGACGTCTCCTCTCTCTACCAGCCCACCACAGGATCAACTCAACCCAAAGGAGTAAGCGTAGAAAACCTTACGCAGGTTACAGCCTGGCATACCAGATTCACACCAATCCAAATGATTGAATTCAGTAAACAAAGAAATTGAGGTTTGCAAAAGTTAGGAGCAACTACATCATACGATTAGTTGTTGCTGTCAATTCCAGAGTCAAGTCAGTGGACAATTTATAATGTATGCAGATGTCTTTCTGATACCAAGATATATTTGTCGGGGTTCCCCTGGCCATGGAAAAATGCAATTCATTTATGTTAAACCACCATAGTTGTAAATCGTTGCGTCAGTGCAACAAGGTCGTATCTCCTAAAATGGCATAAACGCAAAACGTGAGTTTCAGAATGTCAAAAGGTCGTATCTCGCTTAAATTATCCGGATATACATGCAAAATCAATGGACGTCGAGATACGACGTTGTTGCACGGAGCGTATTCGCGCGAGATACGACTTTGTTGCAGAATGGAGTTACGACCTTGTTGCACTGACACGACAAAATATAAAACATAAAGAAAGATTGAATTTAGTGAAGAGTTGTCATTTTTTATAACTCTACAGATTTTCTGTCGCAGAAGATACCCCAGATGGGACCATGATTGGTTCCCCGCTCTACACCCAGCAGTTCTCACAACCAGCCCCTAGGTCACCATCTAAGGTGGCGCCCTGCCGCCATTTATCAGACTCGGACCTGACCTCAGCCCATCTCGGTAAAGGCATCAATACTATCTCTGGTATTTCAAAATCTACGGTGTGGTATTAAGCAGCCTTGCAGTCGAGTATATCACAAGTGCCTTTAAAATTAAATCCCAAGTCCTTTAAAGTTACCGAAAGTGCTGAAAAGTACCGAAAGTGATAAAAATCTTAGAAGTAACCTGTTCAAGTTTCAGCCTAGTTTCAACTTACTCAGGTCATACATGTAGGTCATCGAACCACAGAGCTAATTGGCCCATGAAACATTCAAAATACCATCTCAGCTCCCTGGGGAGTATACAGCTCAGTGCTGCCTGTTAGGCGTATTGCTTATTCAGCAAGCTTATTCAGTCACAATAACCATCTCTGCCCTCACAGGTACCCATTTACTCCTGGGTGGGGAGAAGCAATGAGTGACAAAGTGCCTTGCCCAAGGGCACACGCACCATGACCCCAGGCTGGACTCGAACCCACAACCTGCAGCTTTACTCGCAGACCACTTTACCCGCAGAGCTGCAAATTTTCTGACCAAGAATCTATTGTGTCTTTAGTTTGACTGTGTGCAATCTTTCCTCTGTTTTCCTTCTTGTACTGGGTCAGTCGGCAGTCAGGAGAAGCCTGGTAGTGGTGGGAGTGGCGGACTAACCCAGAGGTTATCACTACTACCTAAACCAACCCTGCCACCAATAACCATTGATATTCTGGTAAGTTCAAAATCTTTACTGGCTTTATAAATAAAAATCTCATTCCATCAATTATGATTCAGTGGTTTATAGGGATTTGGTTTTGTGTGAATTCGGAATAAATCAGTCATGCATACTTCAAGAAGCACTCATGGGCGTTAATAGCTTCTCAATTGTGTGGGGAGACGCCTTGATCAGAAGTAATGTGAGCGCAAAGTGCGAAGCCCTTACGGCGTGGGGTTTGAGGCCTGCTTAAGAGAATTTTAGATTCTAGACACTCTTTGGTGCAATCTGAGGCAATTTCTGACCACTTTAACCAATTTTTTTGAGCAAAAGATCATCAATTAAACATCATTTTCGAGTTTGGAGTCATTTTAATCAGCTATTCTGAGCTATTGAATCAAATGTAAGCTACAATTTTTATTTGGGGACGAAAAAAATTGGGAGGGGTCAAATGATATGATAACCCCATGTCCATTCATGTACCTTTGCTTCATAGTAAAATCACATATGATTATTGAACCTATGGGCTCCGTGCGCCAACAAAGAGGGCGCCCTTTTACCTAGCAACAATGTCCCATGGGCGGGACATATACATTTCGCTGGTTGACGCGTGCACCGTTCCTTGTGTGTGACGCACGTATGCCAGGGGGTTTGTACTATGCACACGCAGTGGCCGTGCTTTGTGGCAAAATATTGCAGTCAGGCAAGATGGCGTCGGTCGGTCACCCTCAACTGTACTTTCTTTGCCGGTGAGGGGGTACTTGTGAACGGAGCGGATAGCTCCCTTTTAAACTCCTTGTTTGCTTTTTTTATAGGAGTATCCATTCTTCACCATTAAGAAGTTCCCACCTGGGTTCCTGGTGCATCTAGGGGGGGTGGTCACTGCACGATCAGTCAAACTGCTGGATAGAATCCACAATCCAGGTAAACCGACAATTTCCAAACATTAGGTTTTGCCCTTCACTGACGTATTACACTGTATACTCAGTATGTTACCTCTTGAGTAAAAGTTGGAAAAAATCACTTGGGTGGGACTCGAACCCACTACCTCTGCTGTCTAGTGCAGACATCTTACCACTCGACCTTGCAGTATACGAGGTGAGTAAAAAAAACCGAAACCCAAATATCGGGATCATTTTTTTAAGTGAAGTCTTGCTGTAGCACTTTCAAAATCTAGGATATGAAAGCCCAATTCATAAGCTTTCTATTAGTACAAGAATCATTCAAATCACGTTGTACTTTTCAAGTTACGGAATTTTAAACACAATCAACATTTTAAAGTTCTGTCCACGGATCACAAAAACGTAAGTGTTCTTTCAGCAAAACGAAAACAAATCACATGGGGATGTGTGTGAATTGTTTTCGTTTTGCTGAAAGAACACACATTTTTTTTGTGATCCATGGACAGAACTTTAAAACGGTGGTTGTGTTTGAAATTCTGTAACTTGAAAAGTACATGAGTGATTTTAATGACTTTTCTACTAAAAGAAAGCTTATGAATTGGGCTTTCATATCCTAGATTTTCAAAGTGCTACATGCAGAACTTCACTAAAACAATAGTCCCGACATTTGGGTTTCGCTTTTTGTGACTCACCCTGTATAGTGTTTATATGTCGGTGAAGGAAAGTTTCTTGTTTGGAAAGTTTGGAAAGTTTCAGGCTTGTAAACTTTCGAACTCCCCTCCTCCATCAGGGACATTTTTCCAAAAGCCTTTCAGAGATTTTAGATGTCTTTTGGACCATTTTTACACCAATTTCTTAAATGGGTTGTAGCATTCGTAAAAAAAAAAGTATTGAGGAAGATTAAAGGGAATGTACATCATTTGCTTTTGCTGCAATTTTCAGAAATAAATGGATTTGGAGGATTAGTATGTTATAGCAAATATTGCTGAACTGACTTGTTCACTTTTGGGGCTTGTATGCTGGAAAAACCAAGAAAACCAATCATGTTCTTGTAGTCTGTTTCCTTGACCCCACTTAAGATGAAATGGAGTAATAGGTCAGAGAATCTGTCTAGCAGGCTTGTAGCCCTTCACAGGTGTGTAATCAATTGCAAAGAAAATGCAGAATAACTAAATATGCAAAAATTCGGAGCAGTTTTTTAATTTTCTCCAACGCTGGTCGGCCGAACAGCGTTGGAAAAAATAGTGTTTTTCTTGGAAATGTCAGCACACCAGGAGCCATGATTTTACAGGATGCTATAGAGTGTCATTCCCTAACAATCCAGTAAGGCATTTCGTGATCATTTGATCATTTTGTTTTTTGCTTTTTTTCAAATGTTGTTTCTTCCCTTTAACAAAAATATGCCTGTGATTTTTTGTGAAATTGGCTGCTGTTTCCTGATTGACTTGTACAGATGAGCCAGAGACCAGAGATGCGTGGTGGACGGAGATCCGGACAGAGATCAGATCCCATGCTGCAGCCATGGGATGCCATGCTGTCCTAGGCTACAAGGAAACTACTAGTATATGGTACGCTAGACAAACCTTGTACCTTTCTAACAATAATTGTAATGATAATGAACAGTTATGATGTGCACATACATAATAATAATAATAATAATAATGGCTTCTTGTATAGCGCTCATATCCGTCACTAAGTGACGCTCCTGGCGCTCTATTATTACCCTGGCTTTAGCACGGCTGCCATTACGGCACTCAAGCACTTGAAGGAATTTCTTCCTACCAGGTACCCATTTACTACACCTGGGTGGAGAGAGGCAATCGTAGTAAAGTGCCTTGCCAAAGAGCACAAGCACCATGTTCCCCGTCAGGATTCGAAACCATGTATAACGGCACATGAGTCGAACACCGTAACCATTGGACAACAGCGGACCACAGCACCCCACACACCTAAAGAGATACTTGTGTACAAATTGACACGAAATAGAAGTTACTCTATGGTGTGACGATAAAGGCTGAATTAAAGTAGCGTTTTGACGGCAGTTTTGAATGCGCTGAGAAATGTGCTAGAATGGGTGGGTAGGCCTTCACAGCGTTATGGCGAAGTTTTTTTTATTGTAAGGGAAAATTGGGACCGAGTTATGGGGACTTTCTGCGCTCCCTACAGTATTTTGTCCCCACAACTACGGAACAAGAATGGGTGTTCCTGAGAACACTTTTCCATAGAAGTGGTTTTTAAATTTGAGTACAGAAGAAACTTTGAAAGGGCAACATTAAATTCTGAACAAATCACATAAATTCTCCTTATAAAAAACCCCAAAAATTCTCAAAAAAAGGCAAGGGAAAGTGGACAGGAATCACCTTAGATTGCACCACAGAGCATCTAGAACCCAAATTTTGCAGAACCTTTGCTGCGTAAAGGCTTCCCACCCATTGCTCACATTAGTCTTTAGAAGATGCCCCTACTTTATAATTTACCCTAGCTAGACCACTGATAGGTATGAGCTTGCTTACACAAAACCGAAAAATTCACTCTTTGAGGACAATTCTGAACTCAATTTTAGCATCGTAACGGGAATGTACAACATTTGCTTTTGCTTCACTTTTCAGAAATAAATGGATTTAGAGGATTAGTATGTTATAGCAAATATTGTTAAACTGACTTGTTTCACGTTTTGGGCTTGTAGATGATGGAAAAACCAAGAAGACCATTCATGTTCTTGAAGTCTGGTTCCCTGACCCCACTTAAGATGAAACGGAGAATTAATAGATTTTGGGGAATTGTAAGGTCAGAGAATCAGTCTAGCAGGCTTGTACCCCTTCACAAGTGTGTAATCAATTACAAAGAGTTTTTGCAGTTTTCATAGCAAATAGTTTGCAAGCAGTTTTTTAAAAAAGCCAGTTTTCTCCAACCTTTGGCGGCCGACAAGCATTGGAAAAATACCATTTTGCTTGAAAATGTTAGCACACAAGGAGCCACAATTTTACAGGATGCTTAAGACTGTCATTCCCTAACAATCCAATAAGGTATTTTGTGGTAATATGATCGTTTCGTTTTGTGATGTTTGCAAATGTTGTATCTGCCCTTTAATCATTTTTTTTCCAGTGATGAGATTTGCCTGTTGTCAGCCACAGGGACGGCCGCCATTGTCAATCTGGCAGCGTTCCAGTATCCAGTGATTCCCCTATCCACCCAGACACAGCCGAACCTACTGACCACATCCCTGGACCGTCAAGACTTCCAGCAACAGATTCAGCAGAACAGCCAGGAGAAAACGCCACCGCAGACAGACAGGTTGGAACAAAGTCTTTCCGTGTTCAGAGCACGTTCTATCAATCAAAACATTCCAGTCTCTGTTGTAATTCCACCTCCATACGTGAGAGAGTTGACCAATTCCTTTCGGTCGAGAGCCCATCATGTGGGTGGTCTTAAACCACTGTTTAACCCTCCTAGATGTAAACATACATTCTGTGCCAAGTAGTCCTTTCAGTCAAAATCAAGCATGTGATTGTTATAAATATTATTATTATTATTGATCATTTCTGGTAATGAAACCAAGGATTCCTCAAAAGCGCCCTAGGCACTGTAGCTCGCAAGCCTGAAGAAACCTGTTTAGAGAAGGCAATGAGAAGAAATTACAGTTTTAGAGGTGGGAGGAAAAGCCCAGAAGAATATTCTGGGAAAAACCCACGGAATCAGGCAGGGACTGAAAACCCAATCCACATATTGGCCCAGGCGGGAATCGAACCCGGGTCACAGTGGTGGAAGGCGAGGAAAGTACCGCTACGCCAACCTGACTCCCTATACGCCAACCTGACTCCCCATTTCAGCAGTTAAGAATTCCAAACCTACATACGGCAGGATTGACTGCCTTGGACTGCTTAAGTAACTTGATACAGCTATGCTTTGACCCCGGTTGAGTGATAAAACAGCTGCGACCACAACTTGCCTGCTTTGTCTGTTGACCCAGTTTGACTAGTCACAGTGCTTGCTTGACATATGATCTGACTGCTGGTGACTAGCCTTTGTTAAAAGTATAGCAGGGGAAGTGGAAGTCAATTTTGACTGTCTGTGACTGTCTAAATAGCAGGAGGGTTAAACACTGGTCAGCAATGTTTGAAACCGGTCGCGAGATGATGCACTCCACGCCACATGCACATAGTACATGTCGAGCCCCCCTACTTCACTCTGGTTCTTGATAACCACATGAGAACATGTGACGCGCACGTTAGAATTGGCCTGAATATGGAGTAAAATTGTCGTCAGTATTTTGTTAATATTTTGATTTTTTAAAAAGTTTTTGACCAACAAGTTTTTCACGAATGGGTTTTAAACCGATTTTAAGCCAGATGCTTAAAACTGCTCCACCACTCTGTCATTCCCTCAATGCTGTTTTAATGTTCAGCACATTTCCCTCATAAATTTGCATATCATTAAATATTTCACTCATTTCTTTTTGTCCTTGTGCAGTCATGTTGGTGAAGGGCAACACCCAATATTCAAATTAACCCCTCCCCGTTTCAAAATTGAGTACCATGCTCTTGCTTAGTCATTATTCATCAGGAAAGGATCCTCGCATGTTTCTTCCCGTTCACGAATGCTTACTAACCCCACATCGTGCACGTCATGCCAATAACCTACAGAGTCTTAGGATTTTAGGGCAAATGATGAGCAAGCAATTTCAAAACAAGCCGGTTGCAAACTCTGCCAGGTTTCGTTCAGTAGGTGATGGAGCAGCCACTGGGGGCTTTTGTGTCTAACCATTCGTTGGTCTTTGGTGCTTTGGTCATATGGACCCTTAGGGAGGTGCCATTTTCACATACTGTCCGGGGGCCATATTCATGAAACCTTACTAAATTAGCAGCCAACTAGGCCTTAGTAGGATACTAAAATGCCAAGTAGTCTACTATGGAGTTGACAACTAAATTGTTATTCATGAAACTTTTAATACTAATAACCTTGCTAACTAGTTACATACTAGGAGAATTGAGTTGCATACCTGAGTAACTGGAATTGGGTGCTTTGGATGGAGTGGGCATGTATGGAATGTGATGACAACAGATACAATAGTGTGACAGGTGTATTAGGCTAATCCATGTCCAGCACTTGTTTTGATTAGCAAAAAAAGAAGGAAAAAGTGACCAAGGCCTATATGTGGTATAGTGTACTGCAAGTAAGTGAATCAACATCAAATTCTCTAGCAATTGCAAATAAAGCAAAACAGGCAAGGAAGGCAAATTATTCTCAAGAAGAGTTCTAACTCTTTATGGAAGACAAGTATGTGGAATTAAAATATATTATTGATGCTAAGCATAAGGATGCAAACACTAACAAGAAAAAGAAAGATGCATGGGCAACTATATATTCTCAGCCAACACCGTGCAAGATTACCACAGGTTGAAAGATCATTGGATGATTTAAAAATTAGATTATCCAAATTAAAATCCGAGTCAAGAGAATGCCTGTCAAGTATGAGAAAGTTCAAGAAGGCAACCGGAGGGGGAAAGCCACCTAAAGAGCCAAGTCTGGCACAACAAAAAATGATAAAGTTGCTAACTAGTGACTTAGAGTTGCCCTGGATCTACATGTACACTAAAAACCTAGAATGTAACTAGCATTAGCAATCTTTCATGAATACCAATTCATTACCAACTAGGCTTAGTAAGCAATTACATGCCTATTTAGTAACCAACTAGGCTTAGTAAGGTTTCATGAATATGGCCCCTGAACCCTAACCCTCCAGGGTATTTTGGCTAGAGAAACCCTGCCAAACGCAGCAACATGCAACACTTGTCTAAGTGACAAGCCTGCTCAGTGTAGCCAGAGCCACCAGGTCAAAAGTCTCAAGGCCAAACCGCCTCAGAGTCTGTGGTCCCGGAAGGCAGCAGGATACAACTGAGGCATTGTTCATTGAGACTAGCTCTTGCTTTTGCTTGACTTGTTAAGGAGATTGTGTTTCCATAAATGGATTCTGAGCATATAGTGGAACAAAGTAAGCATTCTGTTTGCATATATGGGCCCTATCAAATCAGAGAGCCTTTCAACTGAAAACCTGCTTTGTTATCGTTCTTGAAGTCTTTCGGTATTTTGCAACTTGGTTGTGTGTCATTCCAGCGTCATGTCAGAGAATCCCACCGCTGCCACCGAATCTTGCCCAAAGTGCGCCATATGTCACATTCCATACAATGAATCATCCCTGCCATTCCCAGTCACAGTCAGCAAATGTGCCATCTGCAAGTAAGTCATCTCCAAGCATCACATTCATGAATCATTCTTTATATCCAGAGAAATAAGCTATTTTACAACAGTTTCAGAAAGGCGTTCTAATGTTGCACCAAACCAACCAGTTTTAGGAGCAGCTCGGCTCCACCCATATATAGATTTGAATTTCAGACAAATGAATTTATGCTATTTTTATGCCCCGCGGCGAAGCCGAAGGGGCATACTGTTTCCGCCTTGTCCTTCCGTGGGTGGGTGGGTGGGTGTGTGTGTCTGGACAAATCTTGTCAGTGCGATAACTTGAGAAATACTTAACATATGAACTTCAAATTTGGTTTGTGGATTGTCCTTGGCAATCCTAAGAAGCCTATTGCATTAAAGGCCGAAAGGTCAAGGGTCAAGGTCACAGTGGCTAAAACAAAAGAAATTTTGTCAGTGCGATAACTTGAGAAATACTTTACATGTGAACTTCAAATTTGGTTTGTGGATTGTTCTTGGTAATCCTAGGAAGCCTATTGTATTTGGGGCTGAAATGTCGAGGGTCAAGGTCACAGTGGCTGAAACAATGGAAATCTTGTATTTACTTTGAGATCATAGGGATTAATTCATATAAAACACTAATGTAAGTTGATGTTAAAAAAGTGGTGTTATGTCATGGGAAAAGTCACGGTTGCGGGGCATTTGTGTTTGTAAACACACCTGACTTCTTGTTCTTGTAAACGGTTTCCGCTGCTAGAGCTACCAAATCAAAGTTGTGTTTTCATATTTTGATTTTCACTTTCTGATGTATATTCCGTATAATCAGCAATTGGGAATGATTCTCATTCGGGCAGTTAGTGTATACGTGACATTGAGGTCCCGGTGGATGGGTAATCGTAGCAGTAATTAACAAACATTGTGCAATTGCTGAAATGCGTGTCTGCGGACTAACTTAAAGCTACAGTCCATCATGTGCAGCTATCTAAAAAGTAACTGACGTAATTATTGTTGAAAAACATACTTGGTTGGAAGATAGTAAGGGGACTAAACTGCCTGTGAAATTATTCTTTACGGCAAGCTGTCATTTTGAAGAAATCAATGAAAGAAGGTCTTTCCAAGGATGCAAGAGGCAGTGTTGGAAATTTCCGTGAGGAGTAAGTTTTTTATTCGGCAAAGTGCGCGCAAGCGTTGACACAATGCACAAGCGTGCGTGGTTGCTATAATTCGTCGGTTCAGTCCGTGTGCGAGAAAACTAATGTGTAACTTCATGAAATTTTTGTGAATATGTATGAAGTATAGTAAACAAATAAAACATGGTTTAGTTTGGATGGATGGTCAATATTAGCTCTCCTCGGAATTGGAAGTTGACAAGTTCCTTTGGCTTTGCCTCAGGAACTAGTTTGTCAATTTCCAATACCTCGGGGAGCGAATATCGACTATCCACCCTCAAATCATGTTTTATTTGTGTACTGTACACTCAAAGCCCATGTTTTCTTTTTCCTGATGTTTCCTATACTTTCTTAGGAGATCTAAGGTCCCGGATGTCTTGTTCAATACGGTAGAGCCTCCCCCTGAGTTGCCCTACACGGGCCGGGGATGCTGCATCCATGCCAGCGTCTGCCGCAGCAAGAAGAAGGCAACAGGAGAAAGCAACGCAGCAATGATCAGTGATGTAAGTACTTGGACAATTCCATTGCTAAGGACGTTACATTCGGAGCCTAAGACCAATTTAAAACAACAAAATGAAATACTTGCAGTGAAAGCAAATTTGTATTTTTGTTACAACTCTAGCTATAGGCTATCAGTTTCGGTCCAAAAATTGGGCCACCGGTATCAAATGATCGAAAGGTGGCAGTTGTTTGGGTGTTATCCCATTTATTTTTATTTTTTTCAAAATGGCCGCCAATATGCTTGAACCGGATTAATGATATGTGCTAACAAGCATGTTTTGGCCATCATTTGTTTTAAAAAGTGAAAATTTATTTTTGTTTCTTGTTTTCTTTGCAGGCTCTGCCCTTTATGGAGTATGAAATTCACAGACAGCTCATGAATAAACTCAAGGTAAAAAAACCCCAAAATCTTAGAATACCGTAATAATAATAGGGGAATAAATGTGTGCTCGAGAGGTTTTAATCACTCTGTTTAAGACTGCTTAGAGTCTGGGTGCTGATAATTACCTGAGCTGGAGGCGAGGGTAATTATCAGCAACCAGACTCTAAGCAGTCTTAAACAGAGTGATAAATACCGACCGAGCACATATTTATTCTCATTCATAAATACCTTTTCGATAAAAAAAAATCAAGTAATTCGTTCCAAAAATCCCAATTTTGATCAACAAGTTCACTCCAGCTTTTTGAAACATCCCTCTAGCAAAATAATGGAGTGTTCAGCTGGCGAGTAAGATGTAAACAACCCTTTTATGGAGGTTGACGCGCGCGTAGCACGTTCTGCGCGATGTCACGCAGAACGCACCTGGGGCGTTGCGTTTTGAATTTAGAACTATCAAATTCTGACTCGCTTGTAGTGTTGCGCATGCCTACATGAGGACTGTGAACGTTCAACCAATGAAACGGTAAGAGGCACTGGATTTTTAGGAGTCCACATTTTATGTGACACTGGAAAAGTGTTTAAGACCAGCTAGCCATGTCTTTATCATCCGTTTAAGACCGGCCACGTGACGGGCTCTCGACCAATAGGAATGGCTAAACTGTCTGAGGTATTTATGAATATATATTTAAAAAGCGCACGCATCCACCAATCATTATTGCCCTGCTCATTGGGCCAATGAAACATTCCAATGCGCATCTCTAAGCAAAAAAGTGAAAAATTGAAGAAACCATGTGACGTGCTCATGGCCAATCAAGAGACAGAATCTGTCGGTGTGGTGTTACAAACTAAATGAATTCCTTTGAAGCGTCCTTGATAATATGTTATAATTCTTTGACAATTTTGTTTTCCACCTAGGTCAAAGGAATGAACGCCCTGTTTGGTTTGCGCGTGCAGATCGTCGTCGGAGAAACACTACTTATTGGGGTAGCGGTGAGTATCATCAAAATGGTTTATAATGAATTTGACCGTATCCGAATTACATAGGGATGTGTGTAGATTGCTCTTGTTTTGCTGAAAGAATGCACACCTTTTTTGTGATCCATGGACAGAACTTTAAAACGGTTGTTGTGTTTAAAACTTCGTAACTTGAAAAGTACATGAGTGATTTGAATGATTCTTGTACTAAAAGAAAGCTTACGAATGGGGCTTTCATATCCTAGATTTTGAAATTGCTACATGCAGAACTTCACTAAAACTATGGTCCTGACATTTAGGTTTCAGGTTTTTTTACTCACCCTGTATAATAATTGTTTTTACTGCTGTTACTTTGGGTTTTTTTTTTCTCAAACAGACGGCGACGGCAGCTTACGTGACTGCCCTACCCCCTCCAGCACCACTGAGAGTCACAAGCCAGGTTGGTTTATCATTTCAAACATATTCTGGATATTTTTTGGGCTGAAAATTAAGAATCGTATGATTGATTAAAAAAAATCGTATCCTAGATCGGTCTGCAATTATTTCAGGTAAAATAGATTTGGGTGCCACAAAAAAAACCTGAATCCTCAAAAAAGCCCTCTTTTTGACAGCTTTTAAAAAATCGTAAATATCTAAACTTATTTAGAGAGTATAGTTCATTAGCTTTCAACAACGAAAAACTCGTTCCAATCGGTTAAATATTGATTGATTGATTCAGGGCCCATCAAAGACAGGCGCAGCTTTTTCATTTTGTCCACAGCGACTGATATTTTGACTGCCGTAATAAGAACACGGTCTGAATTATCATTGTTAATCATTTCTGGTAATGGAACCAAGGATTCTTCTACAGCGCCCTAGGCACTGTAGCTCGCAAGCCTGAAGAAACCTGTAGAGAGAAGACAATGAGAAGAAATGACAGTTTTAGAGGTGGGAGGAAAAGCCCAGAAGAATATTCTGGGGAAAACCCACAGAATCAGGCAGGGACTGAAAACCCAATCCACATATTGACTGTGTTGGGAATTGGACCCGGATCACAGCATGTTGGCCTATTTCTGTTACGTCATTTCCAAGAAGTAAAATCTTGTTTCATTCCAATTTCCATATTAATGTCATGATTTTTTTCTTAAACCTAGTCTGGCGGAGGTGAGACACAAGTTCAGGCTCTTCAGAAGCTACTTCTAGATACCACCGCAAAGAACAAGGACATCTACGAACTGCATCTGCCTGTAAGATAAGTTCGTAGTTATTAATGTCTGAGTCCACTATAATGGCCCATTGGGCAGCCCCCAATCATGACACATTTCATTTTGGTTAGGTACACTGACAATATACAAATAAGGAATGTTTGTGAGTGCAATGGTAAGAATAATTTCATTTGGTGACAGATGAAATGTTCCATAGTGCAATGGTAAGAATAATTTCATGAGGTGACAGATGAAATGTTCCATAATGAAACATTTCATCTGTCACCAAATGAAATTATTCTTACCATTGCACGAACGTGAAACATTCATTATTTGTTTTATATAACACCTGAATAAATCCTTGTCATCCGATTGGTTGACTTTTAATAGCCAATTTATTCATGTTAAAAAAAACTGTTTAAAAGTTTGACAAGATCATCATATTTATATTAATGCAAACTGTTCAACAGGTTGAGAACAATCATATTCAATTTATCTCGATTTAAAACAGCGCCACCACCAGCAACAGTGACATCGTGCAATGGAAGTTCTATTCACCGTGCAATAGAACTTCCATTGCACTGTGCGCTGCGCGCCATGCGCGCACCATGCGTTGGTACGAATAATTCATTGACATGTGATCAACGATCCACCAATCAGATGACAGGGATTTATTCAGGTGTTGTATAATTGTCAACTGCCTGTAGATGTATACAAACTGCCAGGATGCCAGGAATTCGCACAAGTTTACTTGCAGTATTTTTTTCCTCATCTTCCATAGGAATCCCTGGGTGAAACCACAGCATTGGACAGTCCTCAGCCAATCCTGGATAACACCGACGATCTCACAGACACCCAGTTCCTAGCCTCACAGAAAGACACCTACGTACTGACGGTAAGTTGTCCAAACTAACGCATCCAAAAATAGTCTGAAGCAATTAAAAGTAGAGAAGATCATTTGCAGCTATCCAAAAAGTAACGGTCAAAATTTTTGTGGACAAGCGTACTTGGTTTAAAGATAGTAATGGCACTAAAGTAAACTCCCTGTGAAATTATTCCTTCTGGCATGCTGTCATTTTGAAGAAGATAATAAAAGACTGCCATTTCCAAAGATGAGTCAAGTGACGCATTTTCTGGAAAGTTCCGTTAGTAGGTGGTTTGTAATTCGGCGAATCCATGAATGGGTGCGCGCAAGCGTTGACTTGGCGCACACATGCTCGGTTTTCCATTATTCGTCGGTTCTGTGCGTGACATCGCGTAGCTGCATTCGGCTGAATGAGAACGTGTCCTGGATGCTGATTTCAGGTGCAATTCAAAATATGACTTGGCAACTTTGATTTGAAATTGAGGTCATGGACGGCTGCTATTATTCGTCGGTTCAGTGCGTGACGTCGCGTAGCTGCAATTGGCTGAATGAGAACGTGTCCAGGATGCCGATATTGGGTGCAATTCAAAACACGACTTGGTAGTTTTTGAATTGAAATCGAGATCCTAGAATGTTGTTGTCTCAGAATATATACAGCATTCACTGAGCTAAAACTTCATCAGGTTAGATGTTAAGAACCCATCTTTAGATTTTGAGCGCTTTGTTGCTTCAAATGAAAAAAATGCACAAATGACAAATGAAATACCCTACCTTTAATGATGACTGTTTTAATTTTTGTGGGCAAGACAAGAAAACTATCAAAGGAAATCTCATATTTGTATGTTTCAGTGCTCTACAGGGTGAGTAAAAAAACACGAAACCCAAATGTCAAGACTATTATTTTAGTGAAATTCTGCATGTAGCACTTTCAAAATCTAGGATATAAAAGCCCAATTCATAAGCTTTCTTTTAGTACAAGAATCATTCAAATCACTCAAGTACTTTTCAAGTTATGGAATTTTAAACACAACCACCACTTTAAAGTTCTGTCCACGGATCTCAAAAAAGGTATGCATTCTTTCAGCAAAACAAAAACATTCCACGCACATCCCTATGTGATTTGTTTTCGTTTTGCTGAAAGAACACTAACCATTTTGTGATCCGTGGACAGAACTTTAAAACAGTGGTTGTGTTTAAAAGTCCGTAACTTCAAAAGTACATGAGTGATTTGAATGATTCTTGTACTAAAAGAAAGCTTATGAATTGGGCTTTCATATCCTAGATTTTGAAAGTGCTACATCTAGAACTTTACTAAAACAATGGTCCCGACATTTGGGTTTCTTTTTTTTGACTCACCCTGTACTCTAAATGAAGCGCTCTTCTCTAAACTTAAATAACGTTTTCTAAAAATCAATCAGTAACCGATGACCTCTTTATTTTCCCTTTTTGTTCAGGTGGATGACGTTGAAGACAAGGAAACTGTCGGAGGATTGTTTGACCCTCTACTCCCAACAGGTAAGAAACAAACATCAAGAAAAATTGATTGGACTCTTCATAGAATAAGTCAGTTTGTCAATGTTTCTTTGATGCATCTTGCTTAAAGGGGCACTAGGTCCTGAAATCCCCCAAGATGTTATGTTTTGGATTGTTTACTTAGCCTATTTCAAACATCTGGTTGAAAGGAAACCAACCTAATGTCTTACTGTTCCCGAGAAAAGACGAAAAAAACCTGCTTGTTTACATCGGACATAACGGAGTATGAATACGTTTTTCGTGTCGTTCTCATGTACGCTATACACGTGTCTCGGGAACAGCGTGCGGTGACCAATCACCAATGCAAAAAATTGTGGTTTCTTCAACGTCCGCAAAAGGCGAACACTTTACGCGTACAAATGAAATCACAACTAGCATCCAAACAGCTCAAATTTATGGGGTCGCAAAAGTGGACCCCGAAATTCGTTCTCGCACGCATAATACAGGAATAACACAAAAACGCCCAGTTTTGAAAGGATAGTTGTGTGGATGTTTATATCCTACTTTTAAAAGTTATTTCCGATTATCATCATCTTGTTCAAAGCGCGTTTTGTAGCCCAATTGGGCTCTTCCAGGACCTAGTGTCCCTTTAAGGTGCCTGTAGTGAAATCGGTCTTGGGACGGGTCTCGGTTAGGATCGATCTCAGACTAAGGACTCGTCTTAGGTCCTAAGATGAGTTGTAAGATCAGAAAAGTTTCATGAAATCAGCCCAGAGTTGTAATGACTCCAGTCAATGACTCAACTCAAGTCCAACTTGAGTCACAATTTTTGGTGACTCGACTCGACTTGAGTCCCTATGGGCAAATGACTGGACTTGACTCAAATCCCTCATCAGAATGACTCGACTTGACTCGAGGAAGGCTGATAAGACTCGAGTACCAAAAATAAAAGCAAAACTTTGCGAAGAATATTTGCAATGACTTATGCTGGTGCCTTTTTTTTGTTTACGTCACGTTAGAATGTTAACGAATAATGTACATACATGTATACATACTTGGTTTGATCAGTGTCCCCATTAGTTGAATGACGATCAGCTGGCACCCCCGTTTTATTTTCATTAAGACTCAAACGTGGTGTCGCCACATGAAGTAGCCCGAATGTAAAATTAAAAAAGCCCAAAAATGACTTTCTCTCTTGTGTTTATTTATTGTATAGGGTTCAAATATTTGTGACTCGAATTGACTCGAGCTACATACTTGACTCGACTCGACTCGACTCGACTAAAAACTGTGACTTGACTTGACTCGACTCGACTCGACCTTCTTGACCTTATGACTCGACTCAACTGCAGTGACTTCTTTAACCCTAACTGCCCTGAATCCTTCAAAACCCTCTTTGCCAAAGTGGAGGAATTTGGAGGATTGTGGGTACATGGGAAAAGTGCGTTACTGATTTCGTAGGATGCACTTTGTCAAGGTCTTGGGCTGGACCTTGTGTTGTTTTTGCTCAGCCATGCATAAATATAGGCCTGGATTATGCCTGAAAGCCTCCGTACTGCTCCAGGATGTCACTGGCCGAGCCTCAACATATTGACAGTCACTGCCGCAGGATTTTGCAGGATTCAGGCAGTGGTCACCCTTCCACTGACCGAATTCAAAAAATGGTGGAGGAATTTGCAGGATTGAGGCTATATGCTATTTTTCCATGAGGCCAATTGGCGGATTTTGCAGGATTGAGGCTTCATCCTAGCAAAAAGGCCTAGGGAGTTAGGGTTAAAATGACTCAACTCGACTCGAGTCACAAAAATCAGTGACTCGTTACAACTCTGAATCGGCCTGAGCTTTGTAGTCAATAATTTGTACTCAAATTGCTGTATGTACATTTCATGAGGCATCCCTATCGTGTCGACAGGTTTATTCAGTTGTACAACAGAGACAGTGCCGGGTAACTTCCGGCCCAGCAAGCATCTACAGATGTTCACCATGATGAGAACACAGACGCTGGCAGAAACCTCCACCAAGCATTTTGCTCCTATATTTGATGACCTTATACAGGTAAGGCCAACACATTAGGAACATATGTTACACATTTTGCTAAACAATTTGAAAAGAGTTAAAGGGCCCATGCAATGTAATTTTTTTTAATGCAATCCTTGAAATTGCACCTTTGTGTCCCATTTAACCTTATTTTCAATTATTGATTTTGCAATTTTCAAGAGTATTTTGGTGCTTTTTGGTTTTTATACTAATCAAAATTTCCATATTTATGAGCAAAAGTGTGATGTCATTTCAGGCAAAAACCTCAATTTTGCAGCTATTTAGGCACAAAAAGTTGCTAGAATTTTGGATATTTTGCTGTCGTAAATGTTTTTTTCTTTGGTGTTTTGTTGTTGTGTCGGTGCATGGCAGTAAGCCAATAAGCAAACCTTTCTCTCTAAATGTTTTTACTGAGCAAATTACGGGTTCACAATTTGAACAGAAAACCCCTAAACTGAACAATGTCTTCCTGAAATGACATTACAGCAACAGCGCCCTCAGTTGTCCGGAAAAGCATGGAAAATTTTAAAAGTGCACTTTTCAATAAAATTAACACAAAAGGGACGTCAAATAGTTTTCATACATTTAAGAGGAGTAGAAATTTGCATAAATGCTCTTCCCATTTTAATATCATTTAATTTAAAATACATTTTGTAGCCCAATTGGGCATATTCCAGGCAGTAATGTCCCTTTAATCTTTCTGTGACCAGTCCATAACACGTAATTATTATTATTTTTTTAATGGCAGAACTGAAAACACTTGAAATTTCACCTTTTTAAAATTAAAAGGACATGCTTGTTCCATAGGAGCGGTCTTGGAAGACATTTTATTCGCTTGTAGTCGTACATCAGAGGAGTGAACAAAGAGGGGTATTAAGTCCTCAAAGCTAGCTCATACCTAAAAATCAATCGCCATTGTCAGCAGAAATTTTTGAAAGCGTCCCATATTTATTCTTGGCAGAAAAAAAATGATTTTGATTATAAATAGCAGGCATGCAACTTTTCCTTGGATCCGCTGATTTCCTCATTTTTCACTTCTCATGAATGCCGTTACAAATTGAAAAACACTGTACAAAGTCTTGTGTGGTTTGGAGTTTCCTTTTTTTTTCTAAATTCCTAGCTGCATGTCTGAATAGTTACTGTATTAATAGAGAAATTCAGCATTTTTACTTTTTTGTATGATTACTTTGCAAACACACTTGCAAAGTTAAAAGGCGAACATATGACTCATATGCATTCGCATTTTGTTTACCGAATATGAATGTGATGACAATTTCATACCTCCTGCGTAGCCTGTATGATGGATTTCTTAACTGTTATTTCTTACCATAGAGTATGTGTTTCCAGCTGCGTTCCATGGCGCCCTGCTGTCTGTGTAGTGTGTGCTATGATGTCAACGTACCAGACGATGATGTCATACAGGTCGGTTACCAGTGTTCAACATCCGGACCACCAATCTCATTATCATTGACATGTCAATTTGTGGCTGTTTTGGCAATTCGTGCGATTCACAATGCAGTGCGCCACCAAGAGTTTGCCATGGAGAGTCAACTTTTTCAAGTTTACGGTCGACAAAACATGGCCATTTGAATGAGTGTCAGTAGACAACTTGAGCTAATATGTTATAGATTGGGGTATAGCGTTCTGCCGCCTTACAAAAAACACCATATTGATAAAAAGAAAAGAAAAGGGCAAACATACACTCGAATCATACGCTTACGAAACTACTGACCAGAAAAACAATTTCAAATGTCGACCATCTCCCAAAATGCACTGGGAAAAATGAACTCTCCATGGTAAACTCTTGGTGGCGCACTGCATTGTGAATCTCCCGAATTGCTGAAACAGCCTTTTTTGTTAAAAACAAATTTGTTTCCTTTTTCTTTTTTTTTAGCCATTTCCCATAGCATTTGTACACGTTTTTATCGTGGAAGGCACTTTGGGCACTAAAAACGAATCCGATTGACTTTATACTTGGCACACACTTAGACCAGCATCTGAAGATGTATGGTGATAATCGACGTCATCATTTTTGCGAACATTGACGTCGACATTTAATGTTTGACATTCTGCACTACCGATTTGTATGAATCTGACGTCAAAGCCTTCGCAAGACACCAGTCTAAAAGATCACAAAGATTCAGCACCACCAAAAAAAACCAGAGCAGCGATAATATTGGAATCTTATTTTAAAGGGGCAGGACAGATTCTAGCTCAGCCCTTTAAGGGTAACCCAATAATTTCATTGTGAGTACTAAAACACAACGGGATTGTGAGTCATGATATTACTTTAACAAAAGACATTTTCCTTTTTTTTATTTTAATTGTAGCTGTGGTTAACAGCATCAGCTGTAGACCTAAGAGAAAATGCGACGTCCAGCCCTGAAAAGGTGCTCCAAAACAAAGGTATTTTATGATCTCAACAAATTCCTGAATTACATTTTGCATGTTCCTCAGTCCTATACTAGGAAGTGAGCAATCGTTAGGGAGATAGAGATAGACAAGATGTGAAGTAATTGAATGTCTCCAGGTGAGAACTTACGAAAGCTTTCATGGATGTCTTGGTTTATTGCAGTTTTCATACAGGGAGAGTAAAAAAAAAAAAGGGCCCAAACCCCCCCAAAATATATTTCATATTTTAAAAAAAATGTATACCACCAACAATAATAACGACTGGAAAGCCAAATTCATAAACAACTTTTTGATCAAAAAAAATACTGAAGTTTCTCAATCAGTTCAAAGAATATAACCATTTAGGCCAAAAAAAAAAATCTCCGGTCTCTGGTATGTGCGCACGTCGCCGTAGCCATGCGCGTCAGCAAAATTAAAAAGCTTTTTTTCAGTGTAAGATGATGTCTCAAAACCGCCTAACTCACTGGTTTGACCAAAATCCTGCTGCTGCACAATTTTCACGTGTTTTTAGATGGGGTTACGATCAAGTATAAGCGTTATGTGGCCTCTTTAGGCTCCCGTAAATTTTGCACTAAGTTTAGTCGGGCACCATTTGCAGTCATCAGCCGACATCTGAAGAAGAAAAAAAAGTAAAAAAAAAAAAAAAAAGCCGCGTCGCCGCACCACCTTTTCCTTCAAGTTTTACCTTTTTGTATTGAGGGGACGTGCTGTATAGTAGTGTTTTGTTCAGCACAAGTCTGTAAACTGAAATGGATGTCACACACTTCAATTGATTATTAGGAATCCGATCAACAGATTCGGAGCTCTTGTTCTCCATGGAGGAGCTACAAGTCACCGAAGGCGTGCCAGCCTCACCGTCTACACCGATAGGAAAAGGTAAGTTCTGCTCAGCGAAAATGAGGGAACAATAGTATGACTGAGCAGTCATAAACGTTTGCTTTGAAAATTGTTCCAGCTTTGTTCTTAAACAGTTTACGTCGGATGACATGTATACATGCAAGGTTTTTAAACTCCAGGTTTTGTGGTATTTGGAACGGATGACGGATAAACACGCAACAAGAGAGGCCAGAAGTATCTGTCAGCAACCCGCTTGCAGCAAGCAAGTAACACGTGTAACACGTTGCAACTCGCGACACGTTGTACAATCCATTTCAGGAAACTTGCAATGTGTTGAACGCGTCATAAGTTCCTTGAAACGGCTTAAAATAGGTTGAAAGTTATGACATGTCTAGTCGCCATTGAAAATAAGAAGAGGCCTTTTTTAAGCCAGTTCAATGCCATAAACATTACATAAACGAGACTATAAATACCGAGACAATGTATTTAAAGTTGTAAATTGAAAATACATTGAATAATTATGAATTAGCATGGAATATTGCAGTTGAAATTTCAAAGTAGCTCTACAGTCCACCACTAGCTTATTTTTCTTTAAAAACTGCATCATACGTCCGCCATTTTTATTTTACGTTTTAAACATTTTTCGAGTGGAGATCTGACAACTCTTTGTTGAACATCAGACGACTATTTACTGTAATGCTGAATAAATTCATGCAACGGTCGCCGTGTTGTGCTTTAAATACACCTACGATGCGTCGCACTTACGACGCATTTTGTGAAATGAATCACATGACGCATTGCAGCTGCGACGCATCGTAGGGATGCGACGCGTAGCAACGCTTCATTGCATCTTAAATTAAGATGAGTTTTGTGAAATCAAGTGCAGGACTCTCAAACCAGAAGAACAATCCCACCTGTGGAGTGTGGCCCAGTTTTTAGAACTGTCACAGAACTGAATTCAAGGAAATCAGCCATTTTATTTCCAGTGGAGATACATGATCACTTGTCGCTTACTATTTTGTCATAATTACAGGCTCCAAAGTTCCCATGCTTGAGAAGAGGATAGTGCTAACAGTAAGTTCTTTTTTTTTCACCTAAAAGTAGGCGGACAAGGGAAGGGTTTGTGATTTTTGTATCAGTGTTAAAGGCAGGGTAGGTCATTTGTCCTTTGTGCATTTGTTTCGCAAAGTGCTCAAAATCTAAAGACGGGTGCTTAACAACTAACCTGATGAAGTTTTAGCTCATTAAATGCTGTATATTTCCTAGAAAACAATATTCTAGAATCTCGATTTCAATTGAACATTTGCCAAGTCATAGTTGGAATTGTGCCCGAAATCAGCATCCGGGACACATTCTCATTCAGCTGGTTGTAGCTAGGCGATGTCACGCACTGAACCAACGAATAATAGCAACCAGGCGCGTGCATCATGTCAATGTCGCGTGCACCTATTCACGGATTTGCCCAACTTACATTTAAATTTTCCAAAAATGCATCACTTGACTCATCTTCTTGTTTGAAATATCCTTCTTGGAAATAGCCAGTTGAAGACATTCTGTTTAAGTCTGGATGCTGATATTTCGGCTGGGATAATTATTAGCATCCAGACTCCAACCAGTCTTAACATAGTGTTTAATACCGACCAAGCCATATTTATTCCCATTCATAAATAACTTTTTGGTGAAAAAAAAGTAAGTCAAATTTTGGGTCCAAAAATCCAAACAATTAAGTCAAAAATTATAAATTGCAACGATTTACAACAATTTCACTTCATGTTTTTCAAAACCCCCCTCTGGCTATGCTATGGCCATCTCACGAGTAAGTTGTAAACAACTCCTTATATGGAGATTGGCCAATGCCGCGTACTGCATGATGTGGCACAGAACGCAGCTGTGCCGGTGTAGTGTGAATACAGTATTGCGCATGCCACGTGAAGATTGTGAATGTATAACCAATAAAACGGTACTGGCACCGGATTTCATAGGAGTCCAAAGTTCATGTGACACAGGAAGTGATTAAAACCAGCTAGACGTTTGTTTATCATCCGTTTAAAACTGGCCATGTGATGGGCTCTCGACCAATGGGAATGGGTAAACTGTCTTAGGTATTTATGAATGGTTGTTAATTGTCTGTTTCTTTGTATTTGCAAGGATTCTACGGTAGCACCAGTCTGGCGTCCTAAGGTTGAGATCACGCCACTCTCCGTTGTACCAGGGGGAGTTATTGACCAGTACCTTGGATATATCAACCTCTTCTTCGTCCGGGAATCCATGTCAGTCAGAGAGGTAAGGACAGCTAACGAGGATAGATCAATCCAAGAATAAAGTAAACAAAAAAGTAAAGTCTGTCACAAGCCAATGTGGCCCATCAGGCCAGCGTTTATCTCCGGTTTCAGTAGCATGAAACGACTGACAATATTTCTATTCCCCCTGGATAGGATGCCAGTCCATCGCAGGTTACTCCACAGCTAATGCCGGTACCAGTTTATACTCCTGGGTGGAGAGAAGCAAGTGGGGTGAATTGGCTTGCCCAAGGACACAACATATGACCAGCAGCTGGATTTCAACCCCTGACCCTCTGATCATGAGCCTTACCACTGTGTGATTTGTTTCCGTTTTGCTGAAAGAACACTGACCTATTTGTGATCTGTGGACAGAACTTTAAAATGGTGGTTGTGTTTAAAATTCCTTAACTTGAAAAGTACATGAGTGATTTGAATGATTCATGTACTAAAAGAAAGCTTATAAATTTGGGCTTTCATATCCTAGGTTTTGAAAGTGCCACATGTAAAACTTCTTTAAAACAATAGTCCCGACACTTGTGTTTCATTTTTTTTTTACTCGCCTTTACTGGGAACGAATGACAATATTTGCCGTACCAAGAATGTTGCATTTGTTATGTGCGATGTGTAATTGTGACCTGCTGAGGCTAAATGAGGAATGTCGCCCGAAACTTTGTTTTGAGTTATCGTCGTCTGAAGTTGCCTATGTGTGGAAAATCATGTCAAAATCGATTTTGGAATTTTCAAATTTTTGAGTAGCTAGGGTTAAAGATTCACCCTGTGTATTTTTGTGGTGAAAAAGTTACCTCCAAAAGTGAAAGAATGACGAATTCTAAAGTGTATTAGTGTGAAGTTTTTCAAAAATTGTCAGTAATTGTCAACAACAACAAAATGACCCAAGTTCACCGTGGAATATTAAGAGAATCGATTATTGTGTATACCTTTGTGTGTTACCATTCGATAGCGTATTGCCAGCTCTGTTTATTTCTAGCAGTGACATCAGTCTGTACTGGCCTAGCAACTCATGATCAGCTGTGGCAAATGGTGCTCAAAACGCGATGTTGTGTTGCCAAAGACAATGTCTAGTTAGCTTCACTACGTAATAAAAATAACACCATCTGATTGGACCACATTGTATGAATAGGCAAGAGCATGCACTGTAAGCGTTGTTTATTAGCTGTGTGACATATTGCAGCACCAATCCCATCTGTGAGTGAGTGCCTACAGCGCGCCTGCTCAGAAACTGTTTACAATGTAACAATGTTGTTCCACACGTGTATGTACGTACACATTTCACATAAAGCTTGCAATGCACAACGCGCAACACACAACTTTTTTTCAAAGCGATTTTTCCGAAATTAGGTCGCGGAAGTTCGGCAATGCACTACAAACTTTCCCGCGGCATATCTTTGGAAGTAAATAAGCTACAGAAATAAATTTGGTATCATTACAAAGCTAAAGAGTTGTCCTTTTACATGGTATATAAAACTCAAAAAGTCAAGGATGGGGGTTATTCCTCATTATGTCATAGCAGGTCACAATTGTAAAAAGTAAATCACTTGACTACTCCACTGTTGTAATTCATATGTTGAGCATGGTTTCACGAGGTGCTGCTTGTTTCTTGGCCCACAGTCTGGAGGCGTGAGTGGTTTCATGTATAACTTCATCTCTGAGGTCAACGCTATCATCCGATCCCACGTTGCTTCCTTGGGAGGCAACGCTCTGGTGGCTTACAACCTGGTGGACTGCTTGGTGGAGGACCGAAATCATCAGGTGAGAGTAGTGAATAGTGAAGTCACGGGCCAATGTGCCCATCAGGCCGGCATTTATCTCCGGTTTCCTTGGCATGAAACGACTGAGAATATTTCTGTTCCCCCTGGATGGGACGCCAGTCCATCGCAGGTTACTCCCCAGCTAATGCCGGTACCCTTTTATGCTCCTGGGTGGAGAGAGGCAATTGGGGTGGCTTGCCCAGGACACAACATATGGCCAGCAGCTGAATTCGAACCCCTGACCCTCTGATCATGAGTCACAAACACTTACCACTAGGCCACACTCCCCCATGTGAGAATGGCTCAGAGCAATTCACAATCCAGCATTTTCTTCAAAGAAACCTTTTCTTCAAAGTTGGTTGACTTCCTTCATATATTTCCCCCTACTTTTAACAATCCGTCTGCTATTTTTATGCCTAAAACCTGCGGTAACTCTTACAAAAGTCAAACCTGAATGCAAAAAAATGTGACGGAATCCCAATTAAATGAGTCTTAATGAAGAGCATTTAGGTTACAATTCAGGAGGTTAGGTGATGTGTTGTCCATTGCCAGTGACTGGTTCAAAACTGATGTTGCTTTCAAATTCTTGTCTTTTCAGTGTCAGTGCTTGATCAATGTGAGTGGCGATGCAGTGCATGTCGTGTATGACGGCTCCGTTTCGGGCATGGACTCACCCTGCCCTGGTCAGCTACAGATGTCCCACAGCCAGCAGTTCAGACGTGATTCCAGTACCGAAGCCTCACCACAGGCAGTGGAGTCATCACATTGAATCAGTTCAACATCAGACGTTAGTACCCTGCCCTAGTCAGCTACTGATGCCCCACAGCCAGCAGTACAGTCATGATTGCAGTACGGAAGCCTCACCACAAATAGTGGAGTCAACACATTAAATCTGAGCAACGTAAGACGTTGACTCAACCTGCCCTAGTCAGCTACCAATATCCTGCATCCAGCAGTTCAGTCATGATTCCTGTACGGCAGCCTTTCACAGACAGTAGAGTCATCACATTGAATCTGAGCAATGTAAGACGTTGACTAACCCTGCCCTAGTCAGCTACTGATGTCTCGCAGCTAGCAGTTCAGTTGTGATTCCAGTACAGAAGCCTCACCACAGATAGTAGAGTCATCACATTGAATCTGATTGACATCAGACGTTGACTCATCCTGCCCTAGTCAGCTACTGACGTCTTGCAGCCTGCAGTTCAGTCGTGATTCAAGTACAGATGCCTTTCACAGATAGTAGAGTAATCACATTGAATCTGATCAACATCAGACATAGACTCACCCTGCATAGTCAGCTACCGACGTCCCACAGCCAGCAGTCCAGTCAGGGTTCTAGTACAGAAGCCTTACCAAAGACAGTAGAGTCATCACATTGAATCTGAGCAATGTAAGACGTTGACTCACCCTGCCCTAGTCAGCTACTGATGCCCCACAGCCAGCAGTCCAGTCATGATTGCAGTACGGAAGCCTCACCACAAATAGTGGAGTCAACACATTAAATCTGAGCAACGTAAGACGTTGACTCAACCTGCCCTAGTCAGCTACCAATATCCTGCATCCAGCAGTTCAGTCATGATTCCAGTACGGAAGCCTTTCACAGATAGTAGAGTCATCACATTGAGTCTGATCAAAGTCAGACGTTGACTCACCCTGCCCTAGTCAGCTACTGACGTCTTGCAGCTTGCAGTTCAGTTGTGATTCCAGTACAGAAGCCTCACCACAGATAGTAGAGTCATCACATTGAATCTCATCAGCATCAGAGGTCGTCTCACCCTGCCCTAGTCAGCTACCGACATCTTGCAGCCAGCTGTTCAGTCGTGATTCAAGTACAGATGCCCTTCACAGATAGTGGAGTCACCACATTGAATCTGATTGACATCAGACATTGACTCAACCTGCCCTAGTCAGCTTCTGATGCCCCACAGCCAGCAGTCCAGTCATGTTCAGTACAGAAGCCTCACCACTCGTAGTGAACGGTCATCACTGACATTGAATCTTATCAACATGACACATTGACTCACCCAGCTATAGGGTGAGTTTTCTCGAAGGCATTCTTTCTGTTTGCAGAGGTGTACTTCCGACAAGTTTATATCTAAATAAAATTGTGTACATGTACGTTTTATATTTCATGTGATATGTGGTTAAGCTTCAGTGTGACACATTAATGCCACTTATAGTTGCCATGAATTTTGACTTCCAATGTAGGAATGTAAAAGTATATACATGTACATCATTCAAAACCATTCCTTACACCCATTACTAAGCTGTGTGCATGGTTTTATGTGCAAAAACTGGTGACCATGTACATATTTATCTTATATCTCTTATATAATGAATACCAGATTTTTTTTTCGTAGAGTTCCCTGAATGTATCTCATTGATTGTAAACTGTTGAATGGGATGGCGCCAGACTATTTATGCAGGCATAATGCAGCCTTATTTTACTGCCAATTTTATTTTGAATCTGGTTTTTACAAATTTTACATTATTTATTGAAGCAGACTGGAATTAATTAGTAATTAAGTTGCTTTCATCTCTCTTCACAAGTTCCAAAAATTAAGATTTTACCTCACTTTCAATTCAATATGGCCGACTTGTGCGTAAGGCCCATAGCAACCATTGGAATCCCAGAAGATTAGACGATGTTGCCTGTCATCATACTAGGTGTCTATAGTATACTTTTCACATGTATAGTACACAACATAGTCAACCATTCACATGCATCCCTATGAGAAATTGTTTTCGTTTTGCTGAAAGAACACTTACCTTTTTTTCGATCCGTGGACAGAACTTTATTAACGGTGTTTGTGTTCAAAATGCCATAACTTGAAAAGTACATGAGCGATCTGAGTGATTCTTGTACTAAAAGAAAGCTCATTGATTGGGCTTTGATATCCTTGATTTTGAAAGTTCTACAGGCAGAACTTTATTCAAAAATTGGTCCTGCCAATTAGGATGCGTTTTTTTCTCACCATGTACATTTTGCCAAATACGACAAGTTCTTTTAGAAGTTAAAGCAGGACTGTTCTTATCAGAACTTAAACTACTTAGCGAACGTTGATAATAAGCAGGACAAGTTCTTTTCAGAACTAAATATCTACTGAGTGACAGTAGTTATTACCACATGGTGTTACCGCAAACCGAAACGACATTGCCAAATATGGTATAATTATTTTATTCAGTGATATCAACACATGATAAACTCACTGCAATAAACAAACCTAGAGACCATATGCACTTGGCATCATTCAATTTAGCTATACCGTTGCAACCACATTTTTTTCAGATTTTAAATTTTTTTGACCGACTTCGGAGAAAAAAGAATCTGAGACCCACAGATAAACTGAAGTTAAAAGGGACACCCTTATTACAATTAAAGCAAGAATTGATTGAAATAATGTGTTTGTGGAGTTCAATTATCAAAGATGCATTTTTTGCTTTTTTGACTTCTTCCCATAGACCATTATCATGTGGCGGCCATCTTGATTTTTCTTTCTCATTCAAATCAACGTAACCTAAGCGAGACTGGAAGGAAAAATAGTCTGGTTCCTTTTTGCACAAAAAACATTATCGTTCAGTACTGTTATTGAATACAGGGAACATGACTGAAATGGTGGCAACATGATAAAGGTCTATAGTAATGTGTTTATGCATTAGTCATAAACAGCCTTTATTCTAAAGTGTAAATACATGTATGTAATGTATATTTCATTATGATTTGACCAAGTATTGTGATATTAAGTTTATTGATGGAAATAAAACAAGTTGATATTGTTCACAATCAACATTGTTTGTCTAGTGATTGGATACGATTGTTAACGCAATGCTTTTGAATGCTGAGGTAACTTTTATAGTGGTCATCACCATACACACAATTTCTGTCATGGAGAAAATCAAAATTTGCCTAACTGAAGTCACGGTCTACAGAAAATCTGCCTAACTATTGAACAGAAATAACACTCATGTTGCAAACGACAAAGAGAGAAATACCCTTTTATTGAATTGACATTTGGTCTAGTAATTGCACATGATTGTTAACATAACGTAGGCTACGTTGAATACGCATCTGTAGTCAGTTTCCAGACAGCGCGACAATAACTCAAGAAATACCTGTTGTAAAGAAATGAAATAGGAAGACATTTGACATTTTCAGAAGAAATGTCAAAAACTTAATTTAATACAACCAGAAAACTGAGTGAGGTCAGCGCGAACATTCCATCTCAATTAAAGTCAAATTTACTTGGAACAAAACAGTTTCTTCTAACTTTTTCTACTAATGTTGAGCTCTACAGTCTTGCATTATTCCATAGATTTTTTTCTGAAAAAAAGTCAACTGAAAAGAGGACCATTGGTACAAAAAAGCGTCAAAACCTGAATTAAAACAAAATTTGATATTGCATCGGCCGGGAATCGAACCCGGGTCTCCCGCGTGGCAGGCGAGAATTCTACCACTGAACCACCGATGCTTCGTGTAAAATTCATAATTCAAGGATATTATGTTTTAGCGTAACCTCTTAAAAATAGTTAATATATACTAAGGGCGACAATAACGGCGGTCGCCCCCAGCGGTACGCGCGTTAATATATACCGTTAGGGGCGACAAGAAAGGTCGCCTCTAGCGGAAGTTCCTCTGGGGGCGATCAATATCAGTCGCCCCCAGCGGTATACCGCTAGGGGCGACAATAACGGTCGCCTGCAGCCGTACAAGCGTTAATATATATACCGCTAGGGGCGACAATAATGGTCGCCCCCAGCGGTACGCGCGTTAATATGTACCGCTAAGGGCGAAAAAGGGCGCCCCCAGCGGTACAAGCGTTATACCGCTAGGGGCGACAATAATGGTCGCCCGCAGCGGTACGCACGTTAATATATACCGCTAGGGGCGACAAGAAAGGTTGCCCCTAGCGGAAGTTCCTCTGGGGGGGATCAATATCAGTCGCCCCCAGCGGTATACCGCTAGGGGCGACAATAACGGTCGCCCGCAGCCGTACAAGCGTTAATATATATACCGATAGGGGCGACAATAATGGTCGCCCCCAGCGGTACGCGCGTTAATATATACCGCTAGGGGCGACAAGAAAGGTCGCCCCTAGCGGAAGATCCTCTGGGGGCGATCAATATCAGTCGCCCCCAGCGGTATACCGCTAGGGGCGACAATAACGGTCGCCCGCAGCCGTACAAGCGTTAATATATATACCGCTAGGGGCGACAATAATGGTCGCCCCCAGCGGTACGCGCGTTAATATATACCGCTAGGGGCGACAAAGGGCGCCCCAGCGGTACAAGCGTTATACCGCTAGGGGCGACAAAAACGGTCGCCCGCAGCGGTACAAGCGTTATACCGCTAGGGGCGACAATAATGGTCGCCCCCAGCGGTACGCACGTTAATATATACCGCTAGGGGCGACAAGAAAGGTCGCCCCTAGCGGAAGTTCCTCTGGGGGCGATCAATATCAGTCGCCCCCAGCGGTATACCGCTAGGGGCGACAATAACGGTCGCCCGCAGCCGTACAAGCGTTAATATATATACCGCTAGGGGCGACAATAATGGTCGCCCCCAGCGGTACGCGCGTTAATATATACCGCTAGGGGCGACAAAGGGCGCCCCCAGCGGTACAAGCGTTATACCGCTAGGGGCGACAATAATGGTCGCCCCCAGCGGTACGCGCGTTAATATATACCGCTAGGGGCGACAAGAAAAGTCGCTCCTAGCGGAAGATCCTCTGGGGGCGATCAATATCAGTCGCCCCCAGCGGTATACCGCTAGGGGCGACAATAACGGTCGCCCGCAGCCGTACAAGCGTTAATATATATACCGATAGGGGCGACAATAATGGTCGCCCCCAGCGGTACGCGCGTTAATATATACCGCTAGGCGCGACAAAGGGCGCCCCCAGCGGTACAAGCGTTATTCCGCTAGGGGCGACAAAAACGGTCGCCCGCAGCGGTACAAGCGTTATACCGCTAGGGGCGACAAGAAAGGTCGCCCCTAGCGGAAGTTCCTCTGGGGGCGATCAATATCAGTCGCCCCCAGCGGTATACCGCTAGGGGCGCGTTAATATATACCGCTAGGGGCGACAAAAACGGTCGCCCGCAGCCGTACAAGCGTTAATATATATACCGCTAGGGGCGACAAGAAAGGTCGCCCCTAGCGGAAGTTCCTCTGGGGGCGATCAATATCAGTCGCCCCCAGCGGTATACCGCTAGGGGCGACAATAACGGTCGCCCGCAGCCGTACAAGCGTTAATATATATACCGCTAGGGGCGACAATAATGGTCGCCCCCAGCGGTACGCGCGTTAATATATACCGCTAGGGGCGACAAAGGGCGCCCCCAGCGGTACAAGCGTTATACCGCTAGGGGCGACAATAATGGTCGCCCCCAGCGGTACGCGCGTTAATATATACCGCTAGGGGCGACAAGAAAAGTCGCTCCTAGCGGAAGATCCTCTGGGGGCGATCAATATCAGTCGCCCCCAGCGGTATACCGCTAGGGGCGACAATAACGGTCGCCCGCAGCCGTACAAGCGTTAATATATATACCGATAGGGGCGACAATAATGGTCGCCCCCAGCGGTACGCGCGTTAATATATACCGCTAGGCGCGACAAAGGGCGCCCCCAGCGGTACAAGCGTTATACCGCTAGGGGCGACAAAAACGGTCGACCGCAGCGGTACAAGCGTTATACCGCTAGGGGCGACAATAATGGTCGCCCCCAGCGGTACGCACGTTAATATATACCGCTAGGAGCGACAAGAAAGGTCGCCCCTAGCGGAAGTTCCTCTGGGGGCGATCAATATCAGTCGCCCCCAGCGGTATACCGCTAGGGGCGCGTTAATATATACCGCTAGGGGCGACAAAAACGGTCGCCTGCAGCCGTACAAGCGTTAATATATATACCGCTAGGGGCGACAAATATGGTCGCCCCCAGCGGTACGCGCGTTAATATATACCGCTAGGGGCGACAATAACGGTCGCCCCCAGCGGTACGCGCGTTAATATATACTGCTAGGGGCGACAATAATGGTCGCCCCCAGCGGTATACCGCTAGTGGCGACAATAACGTCGGTCGCCCCCAGCGGTACGCGCGTTAATATATACCGCTAGGGGCGACAAAGGGCGCCCCCAGCGGTACAAGCGTTATACCGCTAGGGGCGGCAATAATGGTCGCCCCCAGCGGTACGCGCGTTAATATATACCGCTAGGGGCGACAATAAAGGTCGCCCCTAGCGGAAGTTCCTCTGGGGGCGATCAATATCAGTCGCCCCCAGCGCTACGCGCCTTAATATATACCGCTAGGGGCGACAAGAGGCGCCCCCAGCGGAACAAGCGTTATACCGCTAGGGGCGACAATAATGGTCGCCCCCAGCGGTACGCGCGTTAA